CCTGCACTGAGAGGGGGGATGGGCTCTGAGACCTGAGTCCCCATCTTCCAGAAGATGGGCTTTGAGACGTGAGTCTTCCATCTTCCTGGTGGCTGAAAATAAAGCCCTTTCATTGTGATCGGCACCTGCCATGAGGCACCTGCCCCATGGGCTTCCATAGCAGCAGGCAGGTGGACCTGCGCCCAGTTACAGGACGGTCTGGGGTCTACAGGACTGCGGTGGCCCCAGGGCCTTGACACCTTCCCCGTAAGAAGTCTAGCAGGGTGAAGGTATGAGAGATGGTGGCTTAAAAAGAAGCTGAAAGAGGAAAGAACTGACTGATTTTGAGAACCAGGTGAGGGCAGAGAGTCCCATGCACGTGGCTTGGTCTCTGAGTTGAGGTGGGCTGTGACGGTCGAAGGGGAGAAGCAGGCCCTCCCGCCCCACTTCCTCTTTCGGCAGATGGTGAGTGAGTTCAGACTATGCTGTAGGGTCTCTCCGCCAACGACGCAGAAGAGGAACCAGCCCCTGCTCCTCACGCACACAAGTTGAGGGAGAGGCCATGGCTTACCGTGGGCACAGCCGTCTAGAACCTCAGCCAGGACCCGCCCAGAGGAAGCTCAACTCCAGCATTGGGCCTCCGCAGTGAACTTCACCCAGGAGATGCTCGTGACGGAGTTGAGACTAGACCCAGTTCTCTGTGCTGTCCCCAGACTCCTCAAAGAGTCATGATGTAGTGTGGCTGTGCTGAGGGAAGGCTGGAGCCCCGTCAGGACTCTCTGTGGCCCAGAGAGTGCCACCGTGGAGTCACCTGGCCCGAGGAAGTCTGCTGCACAGGAGCATTCCTGGTCGGGGTTGTTTCTGCACAACCCCCTCCCGACCCTTCTTTCTGCTCCTCCCATCAGACTCAGCAGAGGTCTCAGACACACTCTGAGCGCCCGCCTCCGATCCACACTCCTTCCCTGCCTTACTCTCTCCTGTCACAGGGGACAGAAGGTCCCAGCCCCCCCCGCAGGGCTCCCAGCTCCTCTCCTTCCTCAGCACCCCCATTCCTGCCTTTATCTCCTTTCTTCCCACATCGATTTGTCACTCCCCACTGGCTCATTCTCAACAGACCATGAACTTGCATGAGAACCTCCCATATTACTTACTTACCCTTTTAAACAACAAGGAGATACCCCCACACATCTATTAAGATGTTAAAATCCAAAATGCTGGCCACCCCGGACGCTGGCGAGTGTGTGGAGCAGGAAATCTCTCACTCACTGCGGGTGTCCACGTGAGATGGTGCGGCCACTCTGGGAGACAGCGTGGCCGTTCCTTCCAAACCGAAACGCTCTTTCTAATTGAATGTATTGGGGTGACACTGGTTCACAAAGTTACGCAGGTTTCAGGTGTACAACGCTACAACACATCATCTGTGTATCGAACTGTGCGCCCACCACCCGCAAGTCAAGTCCCTTCCACCACCACTGAACCCCCTTGCTCCTCCCCCCACGCCACCTTTCCCTCTGGTGATCACCATACTGTTGTCAGTGTCTGAGGGGTTTTGTTTGGGGGGGTGCTTAATTCCTTCACCTTGTTCACGCAGCCCCCCAATGGCTCCTCCCCTCTGACAGCTGTCAGTCTGTTCTCCGTGTCTGTGAGTCTGTTTCAATTTTTGTTTGTTCGTTTATTCTGTTCATTAGATTCCACCTATGAGTGAGATAATACAGTACTTGTTCTTCTCTCACTGGCTAATCTCACTCGGCATAATGCTCTCCAGGTCCTTCCACGCTGTCACAAAAGTAAGATACCTTTTTTAGGGCTGAGTAGTACTCCATTGTGTGAATGGACCACAGCTTTTCTATCTAATCACCTACTGATGAGCACTTGGGCTGCTTCCAGATCTTGGCCATTGTAAGTAACGCTGCAGTGAACACAGGGTGTGCGTGTACTTTCGAGTTAGTGTTTACAATTTCCTTGGAATCTCTGGGTCATAGGCAATTCCAGTTTCAATTTTTGGAGGAAACTCCATACTGTTTCCCACAGTGGCTGCACCAGTCTGCATTCCCACCAACAGTGCACTGGGGTTCCCTTTTTTCTACAACCTCACTGTGGCCGACTCCGGCCAGCAGAGTCCGCCTGTTGTGACGGAAGACGAGAATAAATGCACAGGTGACAGCAATCCTGTGGAGAAAAAGGGGACGGCACAGCCACTTCTCTCAAGGGGAGAGCGCCCCGACCCTCGCCTGGACAGGCTTTTATTGTTTTTCTCAGATGTTACATCAAAGAAGAATTTATTATCTGTTACATAGAATGCTGTTGTCTACCTTTTAGGGACAATCAAGGAAATGAAAACAACAGGTGCAGAAGGGAAAGGCGGTGAGCTGATTAGCTCCATCGTTACGAAAGTTTATACAGGCTTTGGAAATTACCTTGAAGACAGACGATACACATTTGTTGTTTTAGACCAGGGTGATGGAGTTTTAGCAAGGACGAGCCGTAATAATAGGGATGCATTATCTAGGCCTGATTCCCACGGGCAAACTCGGTTTGAGGGTCTGGCTCCTGACCACCACCTCGCTTCTGCAGGTTCTCCATACAGAGCTGAGTCACATTTGCCAGACCAAAACAAGCCGGTCCCCTGCACCTCACCAGCACTTGCTGATTTATTAATGGCAGCTGTTCTGAGAGGTGTGAGGTGGTATCTCATTGTGCTTTTAGTTTGCACCTCTCTGATGATTAGTGACGTTGAGCATCTTCTCATCTGTCTGTTGGCCATCTGTGTGTCCTCTTTGGATAAGTGTCTATTTAGGACCTCTGCCTGTTTTTTTTAAATTTTTATTTTATTGATTATGCCATTACAGTTGTTCTATTCCCCCCCTCTGCACCCCCCACCCCTACCATTCCCCCCCTTTAGTTTATGACCATGTGTCTCAAGTTCTTTAGATTCTGTATTTCCCATACTATTCTTGCCCTCCCCCTGTCTATTTTCTACCTACCATCTATGCTACTTATTTTCTGTACCTTCTCCCCCTTCTTCTTCTCCCACTCCCCTGTTGCTAACCCTCCATGAGATCTTCATTTCTATGGTTCTGCTCCTGATCTAGCTGTCCTTTTAGTTTGCTTTTGTTTTAGATGTGGTTGTTAATAACTGTGAGTTTGCTGGCCTTTCATTGTTCATCTTTTTTATCTTCTTTTTCTTAGATAAGTCCCTTTAACATTTCATATAATAAGGGCTTGGTGACTTGGATTGGTTTTTGTTGTTTTGGGGTTAAGTTGTATGAGTTCGTTAAGTATTTTGGATCTTAACCTCTTACCAAATGTATCATTGGTGAATACCTTCTTTTCAGTGGGTTGTTTTATTATTTTGTCAATAGTTTCCTTTGCTATGGAAAGACTTTTTAGTTTGATATAGTTCTATGTGTTTATTTTTTCCTCTTGTTCCCCTTGCCCAAAAAGTATTATCCAAAAAAAATTATTGCTAAGAATGATGTAAAAGAGCTCACTGCCTATGTTTTCTTCCAGGAGTTTTATGGTTTCAGGTCTTACATTTAAGTAATTCATTTTAAGTTTATTCTTGTATGTGGTATTAAAAAAGTGGTTCTTTCATTTTTGTATGTGTCTGTCCAGTTTCCCCAACACCATTTATTAAAAAGACAGTTTTTACCACATTGGATGTTCTTGCTTCCTTCGAATAGATTAATTGATTATATTGGCATTAGTTTATTCTAGGCTCTCAATTCTGTTCTATTTATCTATGCCCGAGGAGAGCACCCCCCAAAACAATGATCTTTTGGAGGACAGGCCCCTGGTAACCCAGGCTTCCCCCACTAGGTGAGAGTTGTAGAAACCCATCAGTATCAGTGCACCAGCTGGCGTTGTTGTGAGAGGCTGCGTTCGACTTCAGTGATTTTTTTTCTTGAAGACTCTTTCATGCGTTTGCCCATTGCATGATGAGTGATTTATGAGCACACCTGCCCACACTGAGCTAAATGTTCAGCAGTGTTTTTGTTTGTTTTATATATATATTTAAAGATTTTATTTCTTTATCTTTAGAGGAGAAGGGAAGGAGAGAGGGAGAGAAATATCAATGTATGGTTGCCTCTTGTGTGTTCCCCACTGGGAACTGGCCTACAACCCAGGCATGTGCCCTGACTAGGAATCGAACCACAATCCTTTTTCACAGGCCCGTCCTCAATCCGCTGAGCCACACCAGCCAGGGCTGTTCAGCAGTTTTTTACCAAAAACAGCATGACTCCCCCCCCTTTACCCCACCTTCCCTATTCACCCAATTTAGGACGAAAAAGGTCCTTAAAGGGGAACGGTTTTCCAATGTGGAAGGAACTAAACAAAAAAACGGCAGAAGCACTGAAGGGCAACAACATCGACAAGTTCAAAAACTGTTTTCAGCCGTGGAAAAAAACGCTTGAATAGGTGTGTTGTCTTGAGTGGAGACTTTGAGGGTGACCAAAGTTTAAACATGTAAGAATAAATTCACGTTTAAAAAAATAAATTCCAGTTTTTTTGGTGTCCCCCTTATACGTTTTTATGTCAGTACCATGCTATTATTCTAATTACTGTGGACGTGTAGTTTGTTATCTGGTGGCATGACCCTCCAACTTTGTCCTTCTGTTCCTCTTCCTCAAGACTGCTGTGACTACTTGGGGTCTTTTGTGATTCTATGTACATTTCCAATTCCGTGGAAAATGGCACTGGGATTTTGACAGGGACTGCATTGAAGCTGCAGATTGCTTTGGGTGGTACAGCCATTTTAACGGACCTTGATTCTTCCTCTCCATTCACCGGACACGCTTTAAATGGAATGAATTAAATTAAGCGCCAGGCACTGTTCCGGCCCCGGAGCTAACCGCAGGAAACGGAGCAGCCCAGGTCCCCTTCTCCCTTCCCCTACGGAGGGCACGGGGCGAAGTGGGTGTGGACGGCTGGCCGGGGCCCCGCTCAGCAAAGTCGGCAAATTGCGTGGCCCGTGACCCCGCCCCCGGCCTCCCCGCCCCGACCCCAAGGAGGCGGTCGCTCGGCGCGCGCTCCCGCGCTGGAGAAATGCCACGCGTTTCCGAGAAGGCGGCCTGAGGACCGAGCCCAAGAGCCTCCAGGCCCCCACGCGCCGCCCAGCCCGTCTCTGCGGGCGCCCACGGGAGGGGCCGCCCCCGCGCGCAACCCCGGATGCGCGGAACCGGGTGCGGAAGGGCGACGGCGGAGCCGGGCTGCAGGCGGCGGGGCTGCCGGCAAGCGTCCCAGACTCAGCGGCTACACACCGCCAAGGTAGGTCGTAAACCGCGGGGTGGCCCGGAGTGGGAAGGGACGGCCTGCGCGGTGAGCGCCCTGCAGCCGCCCTTTCCTGCAGCCGTTTCCCCGGAATCCCTCCTCCTGGGCGCCTTCCGCTCCCGTAGCCCCGGCCCACCCGGGCCCTGCGGGTTTAAGGGCGTCTGTCCGTGTCCCCAGCGCCGCGCTCCGCTCCTACCCGACCCGGACCCGGGCCCTCCCCCGGCAGGGATGCCTGAGACCCCGGGCACTGGCTGCTGCGGGGTGCGATCCGTGCGACTGAGGGTCGCAGAGGGGTCTGGGGCCGGGCGCCCCACGCCCCACCATATCCGTCACTTGGAAACTGGAAGGGGTGAGGCGGAGGAGTGGACCCCCCCCCCCCGCCCCCGGCCCAGGGTCGGGAGCTGGGGAGGGCCTGCGAGCGGATCTGCTCCAGCGTTTGAGCCCCGAGCGGATCAACCAGTTAAACCCAGTTAGCAGTCAGCAAACTGTCAACTCACTGGAAAACGCTAGGTATCCTGCCTCCTTTGATTTCCTTGCATTTTCTTTTTCTTTCTTTCTTTCTTTCTTTCTTTCTTTCTTTCTTTCTTTCTTTCTTTCTTTCTTTCTTTCTTTCTTTCTTTCTTTCTTTCTTTCTTTCTTTCTTTCTTTCTTTCTTTCTTTCTTCCTTCCTTCCTTCCTTCCTTCCTTTCTCTCTCTCTCTCTCTCTCTCTCTTTCTTTCCTTTCTTTTTTTTCTTTTCTTTCTTTCTCTTCCTTCCTTTCCTTTTTTCTTTCCTTTTTTTTTTAAGCACGAGATCTTAAAAACCAGTTTGACATGCCCTAGGGTCAGCTCTGAGCGGGGGGCAGGTGTGGAGAGTCCGGGAGGGGCCCCCTCCCCTCTGGGCAGGGTCACGCCTGACCCACATCTGGACAGGATATCTCAGCAACCTACGCAGCACTTCGGGAGGAACCGGGCAGGTGCGATACCTCGCAGACTCCCCTAGTGTGTGGTGTGCTGGGGAAGAGTTACCCGTTTGTCCCAGGAAGCGACTTAACTTATACGTTCTGTACTTCACAAGTTACTTCTCGATTTTAGAGCATCAAAAATCTGCAGGGCTCTTTTATTCTTATCTGCATTCCCTCTAAGTTTCTCATGTATTTATTTGAAAGTTAGAGAATATCTGCCTGAAATGTGGTTCAGATGATTTGACAAACAATGTTATAATTTGCCTTATGAAAAGTTAGAAGAACCGTAGCCCAGAGATGCTGTCTTGAAAGTGAAACTTATTAAAATAAATATTCCACTCCTCCCACTTGCGCCCACAGAGCCTATTGGACTCATTTTCCTGTTACATTTATACATTTATAAACCTTCCAACTCTTGAAGAGTCCATGGTGTGTATGTTCTTTGACTTCCTCATTATCTTTTCCCGATTCTTAAATGCTCTTGAGTGGGAAGATGCTCTTTGATTTTTCATGGCTGAGTTAAGAAAATCCGCTGCCGGCCGCACTCCCTGGTGCTCCAGAGGGAGCACTGGATTCCCAGGCGTCCAGACATCAGAAGGGAATGGGCCTTTGACGAAGCGGGAAACCCAGTCTGAGCCAGAGCAGAGCTGGACCGCCCTAGTTCCTGAGGACATGCGTTGCTTTGAAAAATGAAACTGGTTGTGAGGCAGGAGACAGTGTAGGAAGGACTCTGAGACTGCAATACTGTTACTGGCCAGCATTTAGCACCCTGGTTGCCAGGAAATGCCTTTTACCAATCAGGTAGAATAAATAGTAAGCCGAGGCAGGGAGGAGGAAGGAGACAAGTCTCACACACTAACTCAGCAGTCCTGAGCCTGGTCTGAATACATCGGCAGGTGTTCCATCATCACAAGAAACTCAGCAAGAAAGGGAAGTCCTTGAAATTCTATGTAGCATTTCCACTGTCTGGGAGAGAAAGCCTTGAAACTGTGCTTTCATCCCAGGGCCTGGAATGTGGGAGAGAGTCCCCGGCGCCCAAAGAAAAAGCCCATAAAACAACCTCGGTTAATTGCCCACCTCTGGTCACTGTCTGTTTTCCGAGGAGTCCCTGATGATTACAGAAAGAGCCCATAAATAACTCTGGAAAGTGCCCCAATTTTAATGAACTGCCTCCTGTCACGTATTTGTTTTACAACAAGATGAACCAATGGGGTCTGGAGCAAGGGAAGGATTCAGGCTGACAGGTTCCCCCACACACCTGAGTTTGGGTCGTCACATTCCCCCAGGAAAGCTGGCACCGCATTTACCCACCCGTTAATCAGTGTGTAACTTTTCCCCCTCCTATCCCGCCAACTATGAGTACTCAGAACAAAGGACTGACTCTCTCTCTCTCTCTCTCTCTCTCTCTCTCTCTCAGTGGCTCTTGGTGCTCTTGGCTCTCTGGCCACTGGGCCCCTGGCCACCCGGCCTCCGGCTGCCCGGGGGCTGACCACCCTGGTCTTCAGCCGCTCTTGCTTATGTCTCCCTGCTTTGCCCTGAAACTCTGCCTTTCACCCCCACTCTACCCAGTCCTGTTCTCTTCCCTGGGAACGGGCCACTAGTAAACTGATTACATGCTACTAGATTTGCTGATCTGTAATTCTTTACACACATCAGCAAGAAGAACCAGTTCTCTCCTGTCAACAGTTGTTTCATTCAATTCGGGAAGAACTAAGGACACATGTGAGGCTAGGAGAGCGGGTGGCTGGAGCGAGGGTGCGCAGAGCTGGAGAAAGGAGAAAACCGATGGAAAGCCGGGCGCAGGGAGCACGGCACGCGGAGCAGGGCCCAGCGCCGCCGGCCTCTCCGGAGCCAGCAGGGGGCTGCGGGCACCTCCTTTCCCCGCCAGCCAGGGCTCTACAGACCGGACAAGGGAGCGGTATTCTTGAGCATCGCTGTTGTTGTTTTAATTATGAGGGTTTTTTAAATATTAAAAATTTTGGTACACCTGATCACTAGATACTATACTGGTGAGTCAACAAAAATCTTGAAAATGCTCCCTAATGAGTAGGCAAAAAAGAACAAATTTTGGCACATTTAGCTATTTCCTCTTCTGACAGAGGTCAGAGGTCAGGGAGATGAGGAAAGTCTGCTGGCCGACTGAGCTGGAAAAACCAGCAGCAGGGTCGGGAGGACCCCCGCCCCAGAGCCATGTAGCTGAGCCTTCATCCCCCCACCCCCACCCCACAGAGAACCTGCCCGCCCCACGACACCTCCCTGGAGGGGCGGGGTCCAGGCGTTGGGCTGCGTGTGCTCCCTCGCCCCCATCTCAGCAGCGGTCCTTCCAACAAGCGGGCATCAGGCACACTTGTGCGGAGAGGTCAAGGTTTCCCTCCGCTGAGTCACAGCGACAGGTGACAAAGCCGCCCAGGTTCCAGCAGGTGAACAGGAGTGGCCTGGGGAGGAAAAGAAAGTGAAAGAAAGAGGTGCTTGAAAAGGGGTTGTCCTCAGGAGAAAGCGCGACTCTGGGAAGAGCAAGAAATTTCTCACAATGGCCTTAGGGCCTGCACCAACCTGATAAAAACGAGAATCCCATCAGTGAGTCAAGGAGGTGGAAACTTGAAATCGGAGATGAAAAGGGGGATGGGGCAGGCTCGGGAACACACCCAGGACCATGGGACCCTGGTCACGGGAGGAATGAGAGGAAGGCACAGAAGAAATACTGCTGAGCATGAGTATGTCTTCAGAGAGGACAGGCTGGATCGAAGCCCAGTGAATGCAGATGGGAAGGGGCCGGGATTGGGCTCAGCGCGGCCAGGACGGCGCGTCAGGCATCAGGATGATGGGCACCCCCAGTGCAGAGCAACCGGCAGACGGGGCGGGAAATGCCAGGAAAAGCAGGATGAAAGGAATGTTGTGGAAATGAAATGAAAATGGTCCGGAGGCCAAAAGAAAATGCTATTTCCCGGGGAAAATGATCACTAAAGATACTAAAATATGAAGCTTTTTCTTTTTTCTTCCACAGTCTCTGTGTCTCAGCTTGTCCGTTTTAAATTTGCCATTTAATGTCATTCCATTAAGTTAAAAAACAAAATTCTAGATGATTGGCCCGATTTTTACCGATCTGCCCTCCACGGGGCAAAGCCAGACCTGCCCACGGACGGGAGAGTGCCCAGCATGGGTGGGGAGTCGCCGGGCGCCCTGGTCAGCAGTCACGGCACCACCAGCTTAGTTCTGAGAATTCTCGCCTCCTGGAGGAGGCAAACGGAAGCCAGACGTGGGAAGAGAGGGTCCCCGGCACACAGCCAGCCCAGGGACACACACAGGCCCCCGCACAGCTGCCAGGAGCGACTCTGAGCACCCGTGCACTTGGGCCTGGACCTGCCCTCCGCTCCCCAGGTCTGCCATCGCAGCCAGAAGCAGACTGACGGCACCCACGTGTCTTTAACCCTCTGCCGCTGCCTGGCTGGTCTGGGATCAGGGCTGACCCGGATCTCACCCCCAGCAGACTAGCCACCCCCTGGGGGGGCAGAGGGGGGCAGCTTCTACTCTCCTGGGAAGGCATCCAGGCAACGTGGGGCTCTCCCAACAGTGAAACCCAGCAGCCACCCACAGTGGCCAGTGGTCACGCGTGAGCCCCTCACCCTGCAGGGGACGGGTAAGGGGAGGGGAGGAGCGAGACCAGATGAGCCGAGGCTCACAGTTCCATAGTCCCATCAGACTCAATGAACAAAAAAACCAGTACAGAGAAAACACTGTTCAGAATTTCCCATCAGCCACAGAGGAGCATCGAACGGAGCAGGGCCGGGGGGAGCCCCCTCCGAGTGCAGGGCCTGGGGCCGAAGTGGAGCTGGCCGAGGGCTGGCCTCTAGGAAGGCCGAGCTCTGTAGTCAGGCGGAGATTTAAGAGCTGCACGAACAGTTTCAGGCAGGGGGTCAAGAGGAGAAATTTGATTTTTCAAGCAAGCAAAAACCCGTTACCAGACAGCTGCTGGACACTGGAGTGAGAGCGTGAGGCACCAGGAACAAAGAAGGGGAGGAGAGAGGAGAGAACTTCTAATCGTGTAGTTTGTGCATGTGTGTGTGCGTGTGTGCGTGTGTGTGCGTGTTCCCAAAGTGCTGAAGTTCTGCAGATGCAGAGCAAAGGCGGAGAGGGGCCGCCATTGGAGAGAACAGAGGGGGCACAGGCCCCGGGGCAGATGTTCAGGTAGAAGGGATTCGCCCCTCCATGTGCCCTTCTGCAGCCGCGTGAGCCCTCTGCTGAGAAGGGACATGGCGATGACGTCACAGATGACGAATTCCGCCACTGTTCCCAAGATAGGCCAGAGGTCTTGTCCGCTTGTTTGTCTTGTGCTCTTTAGCGGCCATTGTTTCGTTTTGATCTGGAGCTGGCGGCTGACCCAGCCTTGGGGACAGAAGGACCCCAGCGTCATAGAGCCGCAGTGTTCGGGCGGAGACAGGAGCCATGAGGGAGAGAAGAATTCCCTTCTTACCTTGGAGTGAGGAAGACTTTCAGACTGAAAATACAGATTCTAAGAAAGAAAATTCCTTCAGACGTGAAAAAATAAAACTCAGAAATTTCTGCATGCTGAAAAACTCCAGTGTAAGCAAATCAAGGGGCAAGTGGCAAGGAAAGGGGACCAAAGAGATGACTCATCACAAAGGGCCAGGTCCCCCTGCAAACCAGGAAGAAAACAAAAGAGCTACTCTGGGCAAAGATCCAAGCCGGTTAACGAGAATGGCTCTCACGGGTGTGAAGACAGGCTCCATCCCATCAGAATAGGAGAACGGTTTTTTGTGTATGAATTTGATTCTTAGAGACCCCAGAGCTTGCCGACCACCCAGGGAAGGGGCAGAGCTCTCAGGCCCTGTGGGCAGCCCCAGGCTGGGGCCGAGCCTTTTCCGTCAAAATCACAGACGCACAGCTCCTCTGCACCCGGTCCCTTCCGTCTGCCCCCCAGACCTACCCCCACCATCCCTGCCCCCACTGTCTCTGCCCTTTACTTGGCCCTGGCATCCTGTCTTCTGTGGGTACAGCCACCAGCATCCTTGTTCTCTGACTTCTGCTTGGGTTCCACCCACGTGGAGCCCAAGGGAAGGGAGGGAAGGCAGTGCTGGTCAGTTACTGACCCCTCGGCTCCGTCTGGCTTAGGTCACAGCTCCTCCCACAGGATTCTCTTCTCCCAGAGCCCTGCGTGGGCGCCTGCCCGCTGCCCCTCAAGCCCAGGGCGGGTAACAGTCCCCGTCACACTTTTACGGTTCGCCTACATCCTGTTCACACATCGGGTAAAAGACTGTCTCGAAACGCACTCTGCTGCTGGGACTCTCACTGATCAGCCCTTCTGCCAGCAGTCCCAGTTCCGGCAAGTTCCCCTTCGCAGAGACGGGCCCCTGTGCAGAAGGGCGCATGTCTGAGATAAGTCAGTGCAGAAAAGGCGAGAAGCAGCTGGAGTAAGCTGCCTTTCGGACTGATGATGCCTGTCCGTCAGACGGACAGCGTGACTGTGTAGACCAACTACAGCAGCACCTCTTGGTGCCGACGCAGAAAGGCCTTCCAATCCTTTCTCGGGAAAACGCAGGGAACAGATATATGCCAACCCTTGTCCGAAAAAACAGGAGAAGCAACGTCGGTTTGCTTCTGCTTATGCATAAAGGTATTCTGAAGGGCTCACCAAAAAATGATGATGATGATGATGATACAAATACTCTTCTAAAGGGGGCAAGTCTCTTCACCACTTGCATTTTGTGTGTTGAAAGCTTTGGAACCGGACGGCTGTCTCACTGCGCAAGCGTTACATTTAAATCCCTCCCTCACGGCCAAAGTGCTGGGGGGGGCGGGAGTAGGTGAACAGTCTGGCCCCCGGGAGGCGTGTGGAGGCTGGGACCAGGATGCTCCCGCTGCCTCCATTGTCCATTCTGAGCCCATTTGCATTAGACATGTCAGCGGCTTGATCTCCCGATGCTGATTTCCTTTCAGATGTGAAAGGAAGGAAGGACTCTCCAAATACCAAGGATGCTCTGGGGCCGCAACGCCTGTGCCGTCAGACCACTTACCTTGTGTCTCCTGGGTAAGTGTTACTTTTCGTCACAGCTCTCGCGGGAGCAAACCCGTGCAGTCATTGTCATCGAGAGCCCCTGTGGGGAGCAGCCAGCTGAGACCCACACACCGTGCACAGTGCCCAGGGCCAGGGGAATGCGGACAGGAAGTCGGTACTGGTGCTTTGGCGTCCATCTAGGTTTCTGACCTGCTGTTAATTTTAGGGTGGGAAAGCCGGATAAACAAGAATGACTTAAGGTTCAGTAACAGATGGGGAATGTCTTCCCTGTGATTTGGAGAGTCTGTTCTCTTCACGCCCTCATTCTGATGGGAGGGGGTGGAAATCAATCACCCGTCCTTATTTGGAAAGAGGCCAGCCCCCTTCTCTCCCACCAGCATGGCCAGACTCAGGTGTCCGTCTGTGAACTCTGGCTTAATGCTTCATTACTGTTTCCTGTGGTCGTTTTGTGCCTTTTCTCCACCTTTCTACTGATTCTCGTCCAGCCCCACTGTGTCACCTGCTCCGTGGTTATGAGTGGGACATTCCCCCCCCCCCCGCCCCATCCCGCGCAGGACCGTCCGTGCAGCCCGTCCACAACTCCCAGGGCTGCCACCCCTCACAGCGCCACCCAGAGAGCCGAGCAGCAGCCTCATTTGCATGTCTCATGCAAATGGGCTTGCCGTGCCCACCGCCTTTCTCCCCCACACCCTGGCTGACTCTACCTTTCAAGTCTGTTAACTAGCAACATGCTTATTCATATTTGGAGAATTTCTCCATACAGACTAGTTCTCAGAACACTTCCTCAACCAGCCAGCCCTTGTCCTTAGTGTCAGCTCCCACGCCGGTCTCATTTGGGGTCCACTCAGGATAAATTCCCTGGACCAGCTGCTGCCGATACTGTGTCCACCATCCAAGAGCATCGATTTGAGTGGGTTTTTTTGTTTTTTAGCACAGGAAGTCTTCATTCAAAAGTAACGTGTGTAAAACAATACCAGACTCAAAACAGCAATTATAAATGGAACCCAGAGAAAGTATTGCTCGCCTAATACGTTTTTCTTCTTCCTAGGTTATATCAGCCTCATGTTTGGTATTTCACAACCCTCGCTCGGTAAGAGAGTTCTCCCGGTTTGACCAGATTCTGTGCAAGGGTCATGGTGCTGGGTGACCGTTCAGAGCACTGCGTGGGGGCGGAGAGGGGGGGGTCACCCAAAGTGCGTGAAATTTGGTGTTTCCGATCCCAGGTCCGTTGTGTATTCTGTCTGAAATCTTTTTCTCAGATACTTTGGAAAAGGAGGCAGAATTAGCCAATTCTGGTTTTTGTATTTGTCTGATGAAACGATTATAAGAAATGAACACTAGAGGTCATTTTAAAACCCCTTAAAATAATATTGCATTTGGACCTCTTAATAGAAGAAGGGAGGAAACACAGATTATGCCAAACAAAAATGGTCCAAAAATAATTTTCCTTTAAAGTGCATTCTTCTTATTCACTACCTGCTACCAGAAAAACGAAGATACTTTCCTTCCTTCCTGACTTCCTTCCTTCCTGACTTCCTTCCTTCCTTCCTTCCTGGTTTTATTTATTTATTTTTAGAGAGGGTAATGGAGGGAGAGAGGAAAACAATGTGTGGTTGCCTCTCATGCACCCCCTACTGGGGACCGGGCCTGCAAGCATGTGCCCTGACTGGGAATCAAACCGGCAACCTTTTGGTTCACAGGCCAGCCTCAGTCCACTGAGCCACACCAGCCAGGGCAGGAAGATACTTTTTTAAAATAAACATCTTGCCTACATGTGTAACTCTGTGCCCAGAACTTCACTCTGTGTCCAATATGCACCCAGTCCTGTGACGAGCATGGGGGGGGGGGGCGGGATGAGACCTCAGAGGCTCGCTGACATCTTCCACCTCCCCGCGTCAGCATTGGGTACCCCCACTTCTCCACATCACGGTCTGCAGCATGGTTCTGTGGCACCTCCTTCAGCCTTGTTGTGGGGTTACCCGCCCAACCAGGGCCCACTCAGGCACACATTATTCTCCCCCTCCCCTCTGGGACAGGGAGTGAGTTTGGGGGGAGGGGGCTGCAGAGGAGAAAAGGCTGGTGGTGGGTGGAGCTGTGGAAGGAGGGCTGGGCAGGCTGCCCCAGGAGCTGGGAGGTGAGCAGAGAGACTGGGGCGCCTGGGACACCTGGGTGTTGTGGGTCAGCGAGCCCTGCCAGTGAGGGAGGAGCCGGGTGAGCTCCGGCTCCGCCCACACTGTGCTGACTTCCTGCTCCCGGAGCTGGCCAGCCCTGACGTCTGGGGCCCATTAACTCATTGTGTTAGTTCACCTCCCGTGTCAGGAGAGCCGCCTCTCCTCCCTGTGTTTCCGAGAACGCCGGGCTCCGGGGAGGGCTCCTTTGCGGGGGGCTGTGGGCTGCAGGCCCAACAGGTGGGCTGGATCGTGGCCCAGAGCACCCCACCAGTTCCGGATTCCCGTGTTTGTTTACTTTGTCTCCTGTTCCCTTTAGAACTCTCAGATGACGCTTGTGATTTTAACATGGTGTTAAGAAATTTTCGGCCAATCATATCATGGAAATTAAAAGATCCTTCCGTTGCACCAACCCGCTATACATTGTGGCACACAAACCTGAGGTTAGTTTGATGTTTCCCTTGCCAAATGTGTTATCTTCCTACTGTGTGGGAGTGGGGATCGGGAGGTCCCACAGCGCCGGAGCTCCCTGGCCTGTTGTGTATTTTATTCAGAGCTTTGAAACTCCAAAGACAAGACACAAGTCCTTTTGTAATTAGGTTGAACACTTCTGACAATTCAAGGCTATTTTTAACAAAGCATGTTTATAACCAAAGCCGGCTTCTACAGCTCAGAGCCTCAGAAACAAAGCCTTGTGAACAGTTTTCACAGTTATTTCTCTAATTCGGTACCTCTCAGTGTTTAAAAGTGAGCGATTTTCTGAGGACAGGAGTCCAAAGGTCTGGTGGCCAGATCATTGGCTCGGATTCCCTTTCCTTTGCTCGGAGACAAATGGCCCCTGAGAAGATGTCCCGGCCCAGACTGGGCACGGCTCAGGCCTGGGGCCTGGCGGGGCTGGAGCAGGGGGCAGGGCTCAGGGCTCAGGCTCCCCGCACTGGCCCTCCCACCCCGGGGCCGATGCCAGGACCAAGGACAAAATGGCCCTCTTCTTCCCAAGTGGGACAAACACCCCTACACGTCGCAGTTGGGCCCAGGAGCTCCTTGGGGTAACCTTTTATTCGGCGGTTACCTGCCTTAGAGCCGCTACTATTACTGACAGACGGAGGTGGGGGGGCCTTCGAGTTTCTCCTTGGTGCCCTGAAGTCTGTTCTTTTTTTAATCCCTGCCCAAGGACATTTTTTTCATTGCTTTCAGAAAGAGAATGACACAGGTTGATTGCCTCGCACCCAGACCAGGGATCGAACCCACAACCTTTAGGTTATGGGGTGGTGCTCCAACCAGCTGAGCCAGAGTGGTACCTGCTGAAGTCCCAAGTTTCTCTCCGCTCTTGGGGTCACGTGGATCACCCACGTGCCTTTCTGAAGCTGAAGAGATCGGACGTCCATGTTGTGCTGTGTAGCGCAGGCTGACCTAGGAAGGGCCGTGGTGTCCTCAGCCGGAGAGAGATGGGGTGTTGGTGGCAGGGGTGGTGCTCATGACTGTCCTGCAGGGGCAAGGAGATCCAGGGCCTCCACCGTGAACGCCCAGGGTTTGCGCCCCCACTCATCCAGCCCATGTTTACTGAGCACCAGCGACACCCCGGGGAGAGCCGTGACCCAGAGTCCCCACCCTGCTGGTGCAGACCTCCTGCAGGGGGGCACGGGCGTCGGTCAGCAAACCGAGATGAAACGCGGCAGGTGGTGGTGAACAGTCTGAATAAAAATATACAGATAAGGAGGCTGGTGGCGAGTGGTGGGCGGGGCAGGGTAAGGTGTTGCATTTTAAAGGGGTGCTCAGGCCCCACGACTTGGCACAGTGACCCCCGACCACAGCCACAGAGGAAGGAGAAAACGGGCCAGGTCCGTAGTGGACTCTCATCCCGTAAGTGCCTGAGTTTTCCCTTGACTGTTTCTCTTCCCATCCAAGTGACAGAAGAGAAATGGAGATCATTGAGCACTGCACCAACATCACGAGCCCGTCCTGCGATGTCTCGCACCTGTGGACGGATGTGTCCGAGATATACGAACTGCAGCTGGTCGGGTCCCGGGGCAATGCCACGCTGGTCCGTTGTTTCGGCAGCATCTTCCCAGAGTTGGACAGTGAGTTGGTCCCTGTCTGTCATCCCCACACAGCTGTCAGGGCCATTGCTATTTCTCTGCCGTGCAGCAGGCAGGTATGCAAAGGTGCTTTCGAGTCGGAGCCGGGTTCACGCCCTGGTTCTGCCTCCCTGGCCTGGTCCCTCTGTCCCGCCGAGCCTTGGCTTTCGGATGCAGGAAGTGGGACAGTCCCCTTGTGCTTTTTGACAATTGCCAGTGCCCGTGGAAGGCAGATGTTCAGGCAGGTTGCTGGTCGGTCTGTTTTCCAGCCGGTCAGGAAGTAGGGAGCGGAGTCACATGGCCTGGTGTCTGCGTGGCCACAGCTCTCTGGGCCAATGTTTCCCTTAATACTGCAGCCCCTCCCCCAGACTGCGCCCAGGTAGCCATCTGCCCTGGGGCTGCCGCTATGTGTGTGCCCCGGGGGGCCCAGACTCCCGGAAGTCTGCAGCCCAGGAGCGGTGCATCCCTTTTCCTCCCGGCGGCTGGAGACGGCTGCATGGCTGGTATCTGTGGCCCTCAGTGGGACTCCAGCACTTTCCCAGTGTCCTGATTTGCAAGCTGCGGCCAAGAGAGAGCATCAGTTTTAGCTCCTGGTCAGGGCGGGGCACACTCAGCCGAGCGGCAGTGACCGCTGGGCCTGTTTCTGTGTGTGTCCACCTAGAAAAGAAAGAAAAGCACAACTCACTGTGGGTCACAGTATTCAGGTCACTAAACAGAGGCTATTAAAGTTATAAGGAGATAGCGTTTTTCAAGACTCTGAGTGGCAAGTATTAAAAATGGGTCAAGACCCAGGTTCAGAGGAAATGTAGGGAGCGTACTGGCCCAGTCTTTCTGCAAAAGGTGTTCGCAGAACACCTGCCGGGATCCCGAGTTCCTCTTCCACAGTTTGTCCTGGAGAGATCGTGGGCAAAAGCAAAGATGTAGCTCCACGAAGACTCACTGATACACAGATTCTTTTCAGAGAAATCAGACTCAGACCGGGAATCAGTGAAATCGTTTCCTTAGCCTCTTGGTGGGGGGAACCGGCCGTGCAAACCTGTGACCGTTGGGGCAGCCGAAGTCCTGGGAAGGGCGGAGAGAAGCCACTGTAGACTGTGCATGCCAACTCCAGGCTGTGCCGCACGGGCTTCCTTTGTTCACAGCCCTTTCAAAAGTGAACACCGTTCTCGATTTCCAAGCTGTGCCGAAACTCAGCCCACGGGCCGTTGCTCACCAGCCCCTGATGTAGGAGAATATGCGTTAATACATTTATGAAATGAGTGGAGACACCCACCATGGGAAACGACTCAGGCAAAGAACGGCCTAATTGTAGCTCAGTGGGGGCGGGTGTGAACTTGTCGCACACACTAGTTCAGTTTACATTTGTCTGTATACATCACACACACAGACACACACACACACATACACACGGCAGAGACAGGACGATTATCCTCATTCGGGGACGGCTTCTCTCTGCTCCCTGACATCTCTCCAGCGGCTGTGTTAGCAGGAGAGACCTGGTTCTTCTTGCTGATGCACGTGAAGAATTACAAGTCAGCAAAGCTGTTAGCGTGCAGTCGGTTTATTAGTGGCCCGTTCCCATGGAAGAGAACGGGACTCAGTAGAGTGAGGGGTGGACGGCAAAGTTTCAGGGCAAAGCAGAGTTGCCAGAGTAAGAGCAGCTGAAGACCAGGGTGGCCAGCCCCTGGGTGGCCTGAGGCCGGGTGGCCAGAGAGCCAAGAGCTCCTGAGTCCCCGAGAGAGAGTGAGTCCTTTGTTCTGAGGAGTCATATAGTTGGCAGGATAGGAAGGGGAAAAGTTACATATTAATTGACGGTTAAATGCGGTGCCAGCTTTCCTGGGGGAACGTGACGACCCAAACTCAGGTGTATGTGGGGACCTGTCAGCCCGAATCCTTCCCTTGCTCCAGATCCCACTGGTTCATCTTGTTGTAAAACAAATACGTGACAGGAGGCAGTTCATTAAAATTGGGGCACTTCCCAGAGTTATTTATGGGCTCTTTCTGTAAGCATCAGGGACTCCCTCGGAAAACAGACAGTGACCAGAGGTAGACAGTTAACCAAGGTTGTTTTATGGGCTCCTTGTTTGGGCGCCGGGGACCCTCTCCCGCATTTCAGGCCTTGGGAGGAAAGCACAGTTTCAAGTCTTTTTCCCCCAGACAGTGGAAACGCTACATAGAATTTCAAAGGACTTCCCTTTCTTGCTAACACAGTGTTTCTTGTGGTGTTGGAACACCCTGCAATGTTATTGAACTCAGGACTGCTGAGTTAGCATGTGAGACACGTCTCCTTCCTCCTCCCTGCCTCAGTTTACTGTTTAATCAGCCTAATTGGTAAAAGGCGTTTCCTGGCAACCAGGATGCCAGACGCTGGCAGTAACAGCAGCTCAGAGTTCTTCCTACACTGCCCCCTGCCTCAGGTATATATTATTATTGTAATGTGGAAAGAAGTCATTTTTAGTTTTGTATTTAGAATGTAGCCTTAAAACTGGGAAAGTGCAGCCTTCCTTCCAAAATCTGCCCTCCCTTGCTTGTGATATTATGCCAATCACTTTTGTTGGTCCCCATTTTTCACCAATTGGAAAAAAGTAAGAAATAAAATCGCGCTCCCCAATAAATAAGCAAAACCCATGCTTCCGGGAGGACCGTGGGCAGAGGGGCGTCTGGACCGACGCAGGGCCACGTCAGGACAACGGCAGCAGTGGCAGCTGACGTGATCTGTGTCTCCGACCCTGTTCCCCTGACAGTGTACCTGGAGCCACCGGAGTTTGAGGTGGCTGGTTTTATGGACCACATTGATGTGACCCTGGCGTTCCCCCCGGCCCTGCCCGAGGGGCAAGGACTGTGGCAGCACTTCCCAGTCGTCATTGAGGAGCGGTTAGAGGGGATTGTGAAGAAGGTAAGTGGCCAGAAACCGCTCTGAGTGGGCACATTTGACTCTTCTCCCTTTTTTAAAAAGGTATTTGTAATAACAATTAGATCTACAGGGCGTGGGTCAGTATGGCCCAATTCCAGGAAACTGTTCTCCGGGGCCCATTCACCATGGAACTGTGTTGACTTAGCCGGCTGCACAGTTGCCTTTCAAAGAGCAAACCCTGTGCAGGGCTCATGGGGAAGGTAGGCAGACGGCGGCGTGCCGGGCGGGCTTTCCTTCCACACGGACGGCACAGCAACGCACAGAACCTCCGTCTCTCTCCCCCCCACCCCGCCCTCCTGCACTCGGAGGGGGGGGGCTCTTCTCCGGTGGTTCTCTTCCCTCCACTCCCCCGAGGCCGTTAACTGAATGTCTGTAACCTCGGGTGGTCCCGGTATGGGAAAGACCTGGATCTCACACGGTGTGTTCTCGAGTTGTCCACTCAGGACACTGGCGTGAATGGGAACGGGTAGGCAGTGCTGGGCGGTGGGTGGGCCTGCCGAGATGGCAGCTGACGTTTGTGTCACCCTGTGTCGGTCACAGAGCCTGGGCCCCCTGGCTGTCAGGGACAGGCGCTTCAGGCAGAGGGTGCAGGACATCAGAGGCCCTGAGGCCAGCGTGGTTGGGGGCTGAGAAACAGCGGGAGCTGGGGCGCAGTGACCAAGATGAGTAGAAGGAGGGAGGTCGGGGGGCCGGATGTGGAGTGAGATGCGGGCCCCTGGGGGACCGAAGGCTTTCTAGGGGTGTCCCCGCTGCAGCACCAAGAAGAGACCACAGGGCGATGGAGGAGGAGGAGGAGGAGACACCCAAGCCACAACCAGCAGGCCCCCCCCCCCCCCCCCCGCCCAGGCACGCGGATGCTGGCCAGGGGACCGCAGGAAGGCAGACAGGGCATCTTCCCAGAATGGGCGGCACTTGAGAAAGATACAGCCCCTTGGCCTGGGCGGGGGGAGTGGACCTAAGGAGCCCTTGGCCCAGCCTCCCACTGCCCCCTGCGCCTTTCCCTTCCCTCACCCGGAGTGGGGAGCTTATGGATGCTTCAGGGACCGCCAGTTGGTTTGGACGCCCGACTCTGGCATCTCACAGGAAGAGCCAGAGCAGAAGCCTCAGTGCCAGCTGGTGGGACTCTGTGAAGTTACCCTTTGGCTGGCGTTTCCTGCAAATCGGCTACTGATTAGAGCGCCTTTCGTATTACTGGTGCTGTGCCCGGCACAGAGGATTATTTTGCCGTGTAAAATGCACACTTTTTTGCCCAAATTTTTGAGGGAAAAATAAGGATGTGCCTTATACATAGGGGCAATGTTCATCTACTGTGGGTATGATAATCCCATGTATAAGGCACACAAAAAGTGGGTGTACCTTACACACGGCAAAATTCAGGTGTATCTGTCCAACATTTAGGGCCAAGTTTGGGAGCCAGATGTAAACAAATAGGTGCTCTGTGATACAGTGTTTGAGTCACGTGCGTGTGAGCTGCTCCAGGGGCGGGAGCTGGGAAGGAAGGAAGGAAGTGACTTCGGAATTTCACACCTGGCAGAAGGTAAAGTGGAAAAGTGTTTTCTGGGCAGGAGAGATGGTCGCGATGCTGAGGCAGTGGGGGGCGGCCGGCGGCTGGGTGCCGGGCAAGTCGGCCGAGGTCCAGGCCCAGCCGCGGAGGAGCCGGCCGGTCTGCGGGGGTCTGCGGGGGTCTGCGGGGAGTGACCACGCCAAGTAGGCACAGCGGAGAGCCTGCGCTCTGGCTGCCAGCCTACGTGGCACAGGGGTTTCTACAAACTGATTTCGGACTCTGTAGCTAATGTCTAGATATTCTTACTGGAGGTTTGTTTCTGTTTTTAATATCCTCACCTGAGAATACGTTTATCGATTTTAGAGAGAGGAAGGGGGAGAGATAAACAGAAACCTGAGTCACCTGCGTGTGACGTGCACCCCAGCTGGGAGTTAAACCCACAGCCCAGGCATGCGCCCTGCTGGGGGCGGACCCCGCTGGTGCGCGGGCACGGAGGGAGTCGTAGGCAGGATCAGGCTCCTGAGAGGCGCGGCAGTGCCGGAACAGGGTTACTGGAGGGAAGGCGAGTGCGCCGTGGCGAAGGGTGCAGAGACTCCACAGTGCATTGGCGGTTGAGGCTGAAGGGGCCCCATAGCTGGTTCGCAGGTTTTGGGCCTTCGGTATCTGAAGAACACGGATGCCGTCGTCATTGGCAACAGAGCCATAAGCACAGTGCAGAGAACAAACGGAGTTTTGGGCCGTGTCGAATTGAAGGGCCTGCGGAGCTGCCCCGTGTCGAGCTGAAAGTGCCGATCTGTGGCTGGAGGTGCGAGTGTGAGTTGTCCTCGGGGAACGGAAGCCCGGTGACCGGCTGGCGTGGAAAGAGTGTGTCTGGAGTTCGGGGTGGAGCTGCCAGCTAGAGAGACGTCCTGGGGCTGCGGGCTCCCTGGAGTGTATGGAGTGTCCTGAGCCCAGGCGAGGTCGCCTGGGAGGGGTCCTGCAGAGAGGAGGGGGGTCCCAGGGGCAGATGCGGAGGAAAGGACAAAGGTGACGAAGAAGGAGAGTGATATCCTTGAGGCAGAGAGAAGAAAGTTCCAGAAGGACAGAATGATCTAGAGAGTCAAATGCTATAAACGGGACAAGTCGGAAGAGGACTTGGCATTGACTGTTAGCTTCAGGAACCTGGAAGTAAGGGTGACTGGGAAGTGGGGGCTTTGGCCGAATCCTGGGCACAAGAATGGGAAGGAGGAGAGAAAGCGGAGGCAGCCGAGGAAAGTTAACGCGTCCCAGGAGTTCTGGAAAGGAAGAAGAGCGGCGTGGTGGCAGCTGGAGCGGAAAGTGGGGTGGGGAGGAGGCGTTTTGTGATGGGGGGAAGTGATAGCACATCTGTATGCCACGGAACATTCCAGGGGGGTGGCTGGAGCAACGTCCCAGAGGAGAGTGGGTGAGACTTCGTGAGCATGAGAAGGGCTTGGCCTTGGCTGGGACCAGGCGCTGAGCGTCCAAGTCCCCGGTGGGATGGGGGGCCAGGAGGAGGCGGAGGCGGAGTTGCTGCGGTGAATGGGCGGGGCAGGCACTGCAGACAGTGGTGCCCCAGGGACGGAGCCCACAGGTTGTGACCCTTGGTGACCCTCCAACAGGGTCCGCTGCGAGGCACCAGCCCTCTCGCTGTGGCTCCAGTTGGCCTCTGTCCCCTTCTTCTTCCTTGTCGCTTATTACCATGCATGAGCTTTTAGTGCAGTGCGTTGGTTTCTCTTTAAATAATTCTTCCTTCTTTTGAATAAAGACTTGCAGAAAAACATTACTGCAGAAGGCTGTATGAGAACTGCTAGAAATCCTAATTTTTATAAATTAACGAAGAATGTACTCCGAGAACTCTAAGTCATTATACAAAAGAACCTTCCTAACATCTCTCTGTTCCCAAAATGGAGCAGAGCTACTGGGAAGGAAGCGGCAGGGGTCTCAAGGGAGAAGGCGGGAACCAGACGTCAGCCTCAGCTCTGCCGCTGACAAGCTGTGTGGCCTTGGGGAAGTTGCTTGACCACTCTGAGCCAGTTTGCTCATCTGGAGAATGGGAATAATGTCTACTTTGCAGACTATTTTGATAGACCAGGGAGCTCATATTAATGAAAAGCACATTCTGAAATGTAAAGTAGATACATACCTTTGATAAAATAAGATAATCTTATTGCAAGATAGGATAGGCTTGCAAAAATGACCTCAAAGAGACCTTTGTTCCCCTTTGGGATTTTTTCTTGTTATTTGCAAAATGAGATTTCACAGTTTAAAGATGTACGTACGTGCATGAAGTTTTATGGTAAAATGCTTGCTCCAAGTGACTTATAAATACTTCTTGCCAAACTTCTGATCTTTCTGTCGCTTTTCAAGATTTGAAGACAAGCCCCCACAGATAGTCTTGGGGCCTGCCTCTAAGTGTAATTCTAGTCCAGGTCTTACTGATCATTTTGCTTATTTTTTTTACAGCATAAACTGAAGATAAATGAAGACACCAAAGGGAATTTCACTTACATCCTCGACAGGTTAATTCCAAACACGACCTACTGTGTGTCTGTTTACTTCAGCCCCAGGAACATGCACAATGTAATCAGGTCCCCCCTGAAGTGCACCCACCTTCAGCCTGCGCGGCGATCAGGTAGGACAGTTGTCAAGCCTCGTGCTTTGCTTTTACTCCGAGGGAAACCCTATTCACAGAAAAGAATCGGAATGTCGGGCAGCACTGGGTGGAGGGGCCTTCCGGTGACCAGTCCCCACTAAGTGGCGCGTCACTGCTGTGTTGCCACACCACAGGGGTATTCGATATCTGCCTTTTAAGGTCAGAATCCTCCTGCAGCATAATGGCTTTCATTCCAGGGCACTGGGGGCAAATCCAGCTCTGCGTGCCCTTAGCTGGGGTGTTCTTCAAGCCACGTGCAGCAGGAGGCGGGGACACGGGGGCAGGTGCAGCGCTGGTGGCCAGTGTCACAGGGTGGGCTGGGTGCCGTTGGGTGGTCCAGCCTGGCTCTCGGGAAGGCTGGCCATAACTCAGATGAAAGGGGACTCGCCTGTGTGGCCGAGGTCAATGACGCTGATAGCCCTCACGTTTCAAAGGCATCGGATCTCTGCACAGTGTGACCCCCACGCCGTCCTCTGCACGGAGAACTTGGCAGTGAGAACAGTCAGGCTCCGAAAGTCACTAGGTCTCCAACTGTGTGGCCAAAAGTAAAAAGCCGTGAATCTCTCCCCCAAAGAAGCCTTTTGGGATTTCCTAGCCCCAGAGACAGTCCCTCTGCAGCCTGGAGAGGGAAATACAGGAAGACGAGGAGGGTCAGGAGGCTGCCAGGGGGTGCGACTCCCTGGTGGGCTACACTCAAGGGTGCCTGGCGTGGCCTCACTCTCCGGGGTTCCCCGGGGTCGAGGGATGCCCAGACCAATGTTCAAGGGAAAAGCGTCTTCACCCTTTGGCTTGTTACTTCCATAATGCCACCTAAATGTGGGCCGACCCGAAACTGCACAGGTTCTTCGGGCCAGTGGCTCATCCAAAGGCATAAACCGGAGCCAACGCCCACAGGTGTGTCCTAACACCAGTCCTAGCGCCCCAGGAGGGTCCCAGGCGTCCGTGCAGAAGGGCTCAGTCCCGTGAGACTCCCCCGACAACAGAGGCCAGTCTCAACTCCTCGGCCCCCAGGGTCCCCAAACTTCTGTCCAACCCAGCCACAAATTCTCAGGTTCCCGGCATCCCTTCAGATTTCATCATTCCCTGCAGTGCCTCATGGAGCCGGGGAAAGCACTGGACTGAGATTTCTGACATACAGAATGGGCAGAGGGGACCAGCCGGGGGAGAGGTTCCAGGTCTGGAAGGGTCCAAAGCGCAGGAGTTCCGTCCCCTCAGAGTCAGCGTGCACCCCTCCCGGCACTGGGGTCCGGTGACCCGGAGACCTCCGAGCCTTGCCGTCCTGCATTTTTATTTGGTTTCGGTGTGCGGATGTGATTGATTACATCATTGGCCATCGGTGACTGACTCATCTCCAGCCCCTTCCCTCCCCGCGGAGGTCAGGGCGTCAACCCCCTCATCACACCGTGTTTTCCCTGAGGACCAGCCCCGTCCCTTCAGCCGCCTCGTCAGCACAGCGGCCCCACAGCCACTTGCGTCCCGTGTTACTCAGGACATTCCAAGGGGTTGGAGGTCCTGTGCCAAGAACCGGGAACGAGGGCCACCTGTGTTACTCTTATTATTGTTGTTGTTACATCAGGAGCTTGCAAACGGAATTACATAGCCAATCGATGAGAAAAGACATTTTCCTCTGCACTCACAGAACACCTCCCTTCTCCGAGTGCTCGGCCCCACCCCTCCCTGCACCAAGCAGTCCTCTGAGCACAGCCCCTCGCCCCCCAGGCTGAGTCAGTCCTGGCACTGTTTGCTTTTTTTCATATGATGGCTCTAGTAGTGCCTAGTCGTCTGTGAGTCCATTCGAAACAACTTGGTTACATTGTATTGTGACAGCTGTCATATTGTCATGCATTTAAAAAAACTTATTTAAAAGTAATTTTTTGCTGCATTGGAAGGTGTCCAGCAGCACCCCGGCCTCTCCCTCTGGAAGCCAGTAGCAGGAGATGGCCAACATATTGAAAATATCCAAATCAGTAAAGTTATCAGTGAAAATGAAAAATGTGTCTTGTTTTAAGGAAAAACAAGTGGACTGTCTGGCCAACCCAATACCTGGACACAGTGATACACCCCACAGGTGAAAGGCTCAGTCCCACGAGACCGCCCTTCATTCCCTCCTCCCCCGGCCACGTCAAATGCCAGTCACAGTCCGTGGTGTCACTGGGGCGTCAGACTGACCGCCTATACATCAAAGGTTCCCAGAGTCCTCCTCAGGTTCGATGATTTGCTAGAAAGGCTCACAGGACTCAGAAAACCAGTTTACTAACTAGATTCCTGGTTTTTATAAAAGGATACAACTCAGGAGCGGCCAGGTGGTAGAGACCCCTGGGGCTTGGCGTGGGGAGGGGCTTGGAGCTTCCAGCCCTGTGTGGTGAACCACCCTCCCTGCGTTTGCTGTGTTCACCCCAAGCTCTCTGAACCCCATCATGGAGGAGTATGGGGGAGGCTTCATCACGGAGGCGGGACCAAGGCAATCCTTGGCCATTCGTTGTTGATCAATTCAACCTCCAGCACCTCCCTGGAGGTGGGGGCTAGAGGTTCCAACCCTCTCATCACAGGGTTGGTTCCCCTGGCAACCGGCCCCTCCCCTCCTTGGAGCTTTGCAAAAGTCATTTTCATCAGCTCCGTGGTGGTGGTGGTCGTCGGAAGGGGCTTGTGAACTACGGAAGACACCTTGGCTCCGGCTTGTAGGGTCCTCCACAAGATACTGGGTCACAGCCCACGTGTGTGTTTCTTATCAAAACCACAGTGTCACACTAATAAAACCTCAAGTCGATGATGTTGCAGAACAAAATTCAACCAGCCAAATGGGACGATCACTTGGCTTTCCGAAGCGATTCATGAATCGGGTGTCATCCCATCCAGCGACTAGAAGGCGCTCCTGTGACTTGTCCTAAGTGGGATGGTTTCACAGGCAGGAAGAAGACGGGACCGAGGTGTCAGAAGAGCGGGTACTGGGGCGAGGACCCCTGCCCTTCCCCGGTGGGGGTGGGGTGGGGGTGGCGTCTTCTCAGGCAGCCCCTGCCCCCCTAGTGTGGCCAGGAGACGCCTGGGACCGAGCACAAGGCTGCAGTCAGTCAGTTACTAAAGTGGTGGTTTGGTGGCAGTGGCTCAGTAAAAGTGACTCTGTTGGCTCTTGTTTTTAACAGTCTTCACAGCCACCCTAGAGGCAGAGATTTGTCCTGTTTCACAGACTCAGAGAAAGAGAACCAGGAGGTTCCAGCTGGTGTCAGGAGGCCCTAGACAGGGCCCCCGGAACCCAGGGGGCTGGTGCACTTGCCGCTGTCCTCACCGCCCTTTCTCACTCCTCGGAGGAGGTCGACCCCGACCCCCTCGGCCATTAGGAGAGCCCAATTGCCTTTTCTCTCCCCGAACCCATTTGGCCTGAGGCCGTAGTTACATTAATGAGAGTAAAGGTCCCTCTGTAAACTAAATTAGTTCCTACTAAAAAAAACCCTTGAAGCCTAAAGCGTTTTCTGAAAGCAAGGCTTTATGGAGCCCTAGTCCTAGGGTGACACGGACTCCAGCCCGGGGGTCCGTGTGTTGTGGCTGCAACGAACAAACACACGACTGCAGAAGTCCCGTGGAGAAAAGGGGACAGCATGGCCCCGACCCCCGCCTGGACAGGCTTTTATTGCTGTTCTGGGTACGTGACATGGAGGATGGTCCTCATTTACTGTGCACAGGTTTGCTTTAGGTGGTTACCTTTTACAGATAACAAAGGAAAGAATGTGGCTAATTACTCCAAAGAAAAAGGATGTTGCAGATGCAAATGGAAAAGTGGTTGAACTGGTTACACTCCATACTGGGAGGTTCAGCACAGATTTTAGGAAGTTCCTTTAAAGATATGCAGTAAGCATTTCCTGCCTCAATTCAGGGTGAGGAAATGTTAGCGAAAAGCAAGCCTCATAGCAGCCCAGGTACAATGCAGACCTGACTCCCACGGGAGAGCCGATTTGTGAGTGCGGTCCCGTGTGTCGACTCGCTCCCCGTCGGTTTTCCGAATCAGGGGCTGGGCTACATTCCCCACTGTCATGCACATCTGTTCCCTACCTCGGGACACCCAGTGCAAGCCACCAGCAGCCAGGGTGGATGGAGAAGACGCATGTCCACCGCCCTGGGACTGGCGGGCTCTTCCACAGCGAGTCTGGGCAGGGAGGGAGGTCTTTGGGAAGCGCTGGCCACACAGCGGGGAGCAGGGGGCGGGGCGCAGTCCCGAGGGAGGTCCGCGCCTTCCTGCCGGGCTGTGGGCAGCTCCGTGCACACCTGAGCTCTGAGCTCGAACTGGTGGTCAGCTGATGGGTTTTCTTAGACAACCACCTGGGAGTCGATCCCGAGTCTCAGCAGAAGTTCGGGACGGGGAGTCTCGGAGTCGCCCACGGCCGTCAGCAGATCACTTCAGTTTTCTACCACTTCCTGGCCTGTTGTCACTTTATTTAGGACAGCTCAGAATTTGTCCCTGGTCACCATCCTTACGTAACTGCCGATTTCTTCTCAGTCCAGTCTGATTTAGGAAGTCAAGTTATTTTCATGCAGAATGTTGGAATTTTCTTTCCAAAAGGAAGTTGGATGAGATTCTAGGTGGGAACTCACAGTAGGGCAAAGACTCTCTGCCCTACTGTGAGTAGGGAGCAGAGCCTGGGTTTGGGGTCCTGGCGTGACCAAGGTCCGACTGGGGATGTCCAGACAGACCCCGTGGCCCACTCCGAGTGACGCGTGGGCTTTGGCGTGGGGCTGGTCGTATAACAGTGGAGCGTTGCCGCTGCCCTGCTGTTCTTCTGACTTTGCTTCTGCAAGTCCGACGCTGACCGAGATGTAACCTGTAGATACGCGGCATGTTGGGAGAAGAATCCTGGGAACTAACTTCCAAACTGACGGACCCTGACCTTTACACATCCCTTTAGATGTCCAGAGAGTTGCTGACCTTCAGCTGTGCATTTAGAATGACGTGAAGCCAGGTGACTAAAGCAGGGTGACACACACGGGACTGTCACCTGCCTTATTGGACTGGACGGTGCTGATCTGTGCGTAGAGAGCTTTGCAAGCCCCTCCCCTGGTCTCTTTGTTCCTTCCCCTCTCCCTCCTTACAGACCCTCTGCCTGCGCTGAGAGGGGGGATGGCTCTGAGACCCGAGTCCCCATCCTCCCAGTGGCCAACACCTGCAAATAGACCCCTTTCCTTTCCGTCGGCCCCTGCCTCTCGAGCACTGACTTCCGTGGCGGAGGGCAGAAGGGACTCGGGCACTGCGAGGTGTCTTCAGTTTTGATCAATTAGATCTAAGTAGCCACAGGTGGCTCGTGGGCTCCATACTGCACAGCCTGCATGGAACATCATTATAAAAACTAAATCTCATTTTTATCACTGTAAGAAAAGGTGCCCTTGGATTCCTATGTATTTCCATTTTTGTGTCCAACAACCTAACAATAGTTTCTTCACCTATTGCTGCTTTCGTGGCACGTGTGCCCCTCCGGCCGTCTGCTGGCTCTGCTCGGACACAGACATTTAACTCTTCATCAGCAGGGTCGCCGGAACCAGCCGGCATGGGAGCCCTGATCGCCGTGGTCATGATAGTGGTGGTGTTCGTGGGCGCCCTGGCGATGCTGAGACGGGTCGGCTACATCTGCTTACGGAGCGTACCCCCCAAAGTGCTGGTACGTGGGGTTTTCTTCACTTCTGTCTTTACCTTGTACTTTAACTGAAGAATGTTTGGTCTCTACTTGGGTATTTGCACAGCAGAAAACCCCGTCTATGAGCGCACCCAGGCGCTGCGCACACCGGCTCCCTGTCCGTCGCGTGAACGGGGTTCTGAGCTTCACCTTCCTCTTCTGCGTCTCTGCGGGGTCCTGCGGTGCCCGCCGGGCCCGTGGGTGTGAACGCATCACCCTCCCCTCGGTCATTCCCCACTCTGCGGCTTTGAATCGATTGCTTTCTCATTCTTTTCCTTTACTTTCTTTATTTTTTGGCTGTTGAGACTAATGCCGTGACCGTTTTTGCACAGGTTGTCTTTCCCTTTCAGATGACCCTGGTGGGGTGCACACCGAGTGGACTTACCTTGTAAAAAGATAAGGCGGTCATTGGTGACGCCGGCGGTGACCGGTCAGGGTCACCGCTGCTACAGGGCCCGGCTGACGCTGCCTCGCCGCTCCCACCGCCATCGTCCCTTCCGCCTGTGGGACGGTGCCCTGCGCCTGCTCTCGTGTGCCTGACTGTCACTGTCAGCGAAACCAGCCTTTCTGTCTTCACTCTGCTGCGTGCTGCCGGGGGCCCCGAGTGCCTGTCCGGGCCTCCCTCAGCCGCGCCTGCACGTGTCCCTAAAGCGCCCTCCCGTCTTGTCCCTCGTCCGTCACTTCCCTGCCCCGTTGCTTTCTTTCTACAGTTAGTTATGCAGCTTTTCATTCAGAAATCTCTAATTTTTCTGTGTTTAAACTGACTCACCTCCTCTAGTTTTCTAACAGCTGCATATGTAAATGTCCCTCCAGAGCTGATACGCCATGTTTTCTGAACCATAAGATGCACCCAGGTTTTAGAGGAGGAAAACAGGAAAAAAATTTTGAAGCAAAAAATGTGGTATAATATTTAATAACATCAATAACATAGTATTTCACCAATGTAAATGTAAAGCTACATTCGGACTATAAGGCACCCCCAATTTTCCTCCCAAATTAGGAGGGTGCATCTTATAGTAAAAAAATAAGGTAATTGTATTCTTCTCTTTCTTATTGTTTTTACTGGGTCAGGCGAGTTGGGGGAGGATTGTTGGTTGGGTCGGTATTTGTACTTTTGGAGATTTTTAACTGCCCCTGGGATTTGAACTTGGCATGGGGCTGTGCCTTAGGGCATGTGGACGGGACACTCTGTGCCGGGTCTCATCCACTCCGTCGTGCAAAAGGCAAAACCGTGACTGTTTCAGGAGGCAGTCAGTGTAGGGGGTTCTTTGTGGCTTTGGGATCAGGAGATTCTCAGACACAAAAAGCAAAAACCATGAGGGAGGAACAGGGATACATCTTTGTACATTAAAATTAAGAATTTCCTTTTCTCAGATGGCATCTTAAGCAGAGTAAAATGATGAAACCACAGCCTGGGGGGAGATACACATTACAATAATGGACAAACGAGTAGCATTCGGACTGTGTAAGAGCTCCACGAATCCATAGGAAAAAAGATGAACACCCCGACAGAAGAGACTGCCCCTCCCCAAGGCTGGGTCTGGGTAGAGAGCAAGGAGGAGCCAGTCCGTGGAATGGAGTGGCCCAGGCAGGCGGCAGGCAGGCGGCGGGCAGGCGGAGACCAGCAGGGTGCGGAGCACACCCCGCAGGGACCGTCACCCGGAGACAGGGAAGCTCGGTCCGCCTGTGTTCTCAGCCCCCCCCACCTCTGTCCCAGGAGTGCTTTCTCCCAGGGGCTGGAAGAGCGTGCTCCCAGTCTCTGTCTTCCCTTTGGAGGTCAGTCCAGGGGGCTTTGACCCCCCCCAGCCCCACGCAGTCGGCTCCCCGCAGTCTCTCCAAACCCGCAGTTCCCTGACACCCTCCAGAACGGCCAGCTGTGCAGCCTGAATGAGCACAACAGGAAGGGCGGAGGGAGGGCGGGCCTGGCGGGCGGGCTGGGCCAGAACGGGGTCTGGACCTCATGCTGCTGCCTGGCTCGAAAGCCAGGCTCCTCTGGGCTGGCTTCTTACCTGTCGGCTTCCTTCCTCACCTGCGGACTGGGAGCGAGACTAGGACGCCTGTGTCCCAGCGTGGCCGTGAGGGCGAAAGGACCGTGTCGGCACTCTGCACAGAACCCGCCCACCGCGAACACTCTGGAACCCTTAGCTCCCATCGTTGCCGCCACCGCCCCGGCCTCCCCCCTGAGGGGTCCATCTCCGTCAGCTTTATGATGTTGGAAGATGAAGGACAAACACAACTGATAGGCTCTCTCTCTCTCTTCCTCCCTCCCTCCCTCCCTCTCAAAGAAGTTCCAAAACCTGTCGACCTGGGCGTTCCCTGAGCTGCCGCCCTTGGAAGCCATGGCTGTGTTGGAAGTCATCAACATCAACAGAAAGAAGAAAGTGTGGGATTACAACTATGACGATGAGAGTGACGGTGATGAGACCGTGGTCCAAGCCAGCGCAGGGGGTTACACCATGCATAGGCTGGCCGTCAGGCCCGTGTGTCCGGTGTCCGGCTCCTCGGCCCCCCTGGAGGACTACAGCAGCCCCGATGTCCAGGAGGACGAGTTGTCCGAACCCGAGACCCTGTCGCTGATGGCGCCGCCGGAGCCCAGGCCCTGGTGCTCCCAGTGTGCCGGCGGGGCCTCCAAGGGGCAGAGGACTCCACCCGCAGGCCCCGAGTTCGAGGAGGACAGCGTCTCTGTCGAGAGCTCTGCAGACAGGAATTTCTTCAACGTGGACTTGAACTCTGTGTTTGTGAGGGTCCTGGAGGACAGTGACACAGAGGTCCCCCGAGTGCCCTCTCCTGCAGAAGAGACAGTCGACCCAGAGGACCCCAACGAAACGGGGACAAGCCTTCCAGTGGCCAGTGCACAAGGCTCCCAGCTGCCCGTCCCCAGCCACCCTGGGGAGGGCCAGTGGCTTGAAGATGCTCCTTCTGATGGAAGTGACACTTCTGAGTCGGATGTTGACGTTAACGCTGATGTCAACATCGGGGATGGTTATTTAATGAGATGAATCCCCAAACACTGAATTAACTGATGTCTACCTGTACCCTGGTGCCCTCGCTGCTCCTGTGGTCAGCAGGTGTTCTCTGGGACAGAGCGCCCCCCTCTTCCTCGTGACATCACTCGTGCCATTCCTGGGGTGGGGGAAGGGGCGGCGGAAACCATGTGTTGTGGTATGCACTTTTTACCTGTTCAAGGTGACAGGTTTCGAAGGGAAAATGCTCTGTCCAGTGTTCATGCTTCTGCCTCTGTCTCCCAAAGGAATAAGGTTCTTGGGCTTTTCTGGGGCGGCCCAGGGTGGCTGTGGGGAGAGAAAAGGAAGACAGAGGGTCCACAGTGGGAGCAAGCTGGGCAGTGTCTACCACATGTTCAAACAAGAGGTGGGAGGGCATATGCCCGGGTGAAGTGAGGCAGGTCCGGTCAGTGTAACAGTGGGAAACTGTGACAGGGGACTGTGACCCACCCTGCCATTCTGACGTTGTTCCCGTAGGTGCTGACTCTGCCGAGTATGTGGCTTGTAGATGAGCAGTGTGTTTGTAGAAAAGTCTGTGGAACTGACTTCAAAGACCTTCGGGCATCCCAGCTCCAGGAGACTTGCTGACCTTCAGCCTTGGGGCCAGAATGACGTGAAGCCAGGGTGACACACAAGGGACCGTCACCTGCCTTATTGGACTGGACGGTGCTGTTCTGCATGCAGAGAACTTCGCAACCCCCTTCCCCGGTCTCTGTTCCGTCCCCTCTCCCTCCTTACAAACCCTCTGCCTGTGCTGAGAGGGGGGATGGGCTCTGAGACCTGAGTCCCCATCTTCCAGAAGGCTGGCACCTGAAAATAAACCCCTTCCCTTTGTATCAGCACCTGCCTCTCGAGTGTTGGCTTTTGTGGTGGGAGATGGTGGGACCTTCACACGGTTACACCAGGAGTCGGGCTCCTCCCAGAGGCCCTGTTCAGTCTCGAGCGCTCTGGAACCCGAAACAGCCCATTAGTCTGAGTGAGGGAGACACACCCACACACAAATCTCTCTGGGAACAGGCAGGTGCCACAGGAAGCCAACATGGGCGTGCGGGAGGCGTGCGGGAGAGGACCTTTGTGCCATACTTTAAGATTTTTTGAAGAGCAAACGAGATGAGAAATGCAAAGGTGCTTCAAGGTTGTCAGAAGAAGTAAGACCTGACGTTCCCAGAGGCCGCCTGGATGAGTCTAAGGAGCGCTACGTGCACTGAGGCCCAATATCCTGAATGTGCGTGCCTCCAGTTCCTGAGAAGGGGGGTGGGGTGCAGGGGGGCACCCGGAATATCGGTAGCACCCAGCGCAGGACAGGACCCATTCCCCTAAGTCCATCCCACGGCGTGACCCTGAGCCCGTGGCTTAGCTTCTGGGAGTCTGTGTCTACTCGTGAAAGGAGCAGACTGGGCCAGGGAATCTCCAAGACCCCACGGTACTGGGAGAACTATTAGGAAATACACGGGACTCCGGTGGAGGTGCCGCAAGGAGGTTCCAAGGGGTGAACGAAGGGTATGGGACCCTCGCTCGGGCCCCTCACCCCAGGAGCAGGGTTCTCAGACCTTTTTCTGGGTCCATTCAAAGGGGGGAAACAAAAACTACATGAGTCCTAGTTCAAGGACTTTGAGTCGGTTCTTTTTATAATCGCTCTAAAGTAGCACAGAGGTCGTGGTGCGACCGGGAGCGTCCTTCTAACGCAATTCCGATTCTTAGGAAAGGGACTAACTCGTGCGAGTCGCCCAGTTCTCTCTGCGCTCCGGGGCAGCTGTGGTATTTTGAAAGATTTCCGGAGTGATCTTTTACCGCAGCGTGCGTACGGGCGTGTTTTTAAATTCTGTGTAACGGTCGGAGGTTGAGAAAGGACACTCCGCGCACTTTCTCATACAGACCCGGGACGCACTGGGAGCTGCTTCTCCTCGGCGAGCGCGCACGGCGGATTGGGGTCTGCCGGCCCCTCTGCCGTTGCGCAAACCGCCTAGCCGAGCGCGCGCCCGTGGACAGTCCCGGGCTCCTGCCCCCCGCGGCCCCGGCGCTTCCCCTGTCTGGGGTTTACAGTCTCCCCGCTGGGGAAGTTCAAAAAGAGGAAATTCCCTGCAGTCCTGGGACAGAAACAGTCCTTGCCAGGTCAATGACTTGGGTCTGTGCCGTTGGTCCCGGGAGGGGAAGGGGGAACCGCAGACGTTCCGAAAGTGCTTTAAAGCCAGCTGGTGGGCGAGGCGGGGGCGCAGGGCACAGGCCAACTGAGACGGGAGACGCCGCCGCCACCACGTCACCGGCCAGGTGGCGCCTCGGGGTCGAGCTCCAGGGCCCCTTTCAGAGCGCGTGCGGGCCGGCGCGCTGCGGTTCGGCGACCTGTTTCGCCCCCGGTGTTCTCCGGGACCGCGCAGGGCGGGGCGAGGTTCCGGTCCTCCTCCGCGGCCCCGCCCACCCAGCCCGGACACCGGGCGGGGACGAAAGTGGAACCTGGGGGCCACGCCCCTCCAGCTCCCGGAAGCGCTATGGCGCTGGGCCGGCCACAGTGTCGCGGCACCAAGGGGACTCGGGGACCTATGCCCACTGCCTCCCGCGCCCTCGGGGCTCCCTGCGCGGGCATGGCGCGCAGCCTCCGGAGCTGGCTAGGCAGCTGCCTCCTGGTGTCAGGTAAGGCCCTGCGACCAAGGGTCTGGGCCGGGCGGTCCCGGGGCGTGGGCTCGTCCTCTGCAGGGCTGGCCACCTGCCCAGGGCCCCGAGTCCGCTGGGGCGTCTTGACAGACGCGCTTGGGAACCCGAGGGGAGTGCGACGTCGCTCAGCGAAGACCCTGAGGGCCACCCCTGAGCGGACCCGTGGGCCCCCTGGAAGGAACCAGTGTTCAGTAGGCCACCAGGGCCTCCCACTCAGCACTCAGCACACCAACATCTGAATTCTCCCGCCTCGACTCCAAGCTCTGTGGCTTCCGAGTTCCAAATCCAGGGAGTCCTTTCCTGCCACTGCGAGAGAACGGAAGGTGTTTGTCCTCCCCGCAGGCAGAGCCACACACCAGACCCCAGAACTGCAGGGGAGATACTGCCTATTTGATCACAAATGGCGCCACGGGAGAACAGAAGCCCCAGCTCCCCAGTGGCAAGCAGGTGGCAGATTCCGTAGGGCAAAGTCACAAGCCACTGGGGGTTAGGGGTTGAGGGTCGTGCCGGGAGCTGGTTGTTGGAGGTGAGGTCAGGGTGACGAGTCATCAGCCCTGAGGTCTGTCCCCGTGTCTCTCTATCTGGCCTCCTGGGAGAGTAGCCGGAGGGGAGGTGGGTCATTCCACCTTAGGGCTCAGGAGCCGGCACGTGACATAGGCCCAAGTGGCAGAAGATGTAGGTTCTCTTCAGCCTGCAGACGTCCTGACCTCGTGACCATCAGTGAGGTCCAGGCTGCTGTCCTCTGCAGCCCCGGGGGTGGCTGGTGATCTGGGGGAAAGACTAGGTTTCTGAGCGAGGCAGAAATCGACAGATCTAAGAGTGAATGGGAGGGAAGTCGTAAGGACCCTCGGCCCCGCCCTGCTCCCAACCACCTGCCCCGGTGCAGACGGCCACGGACCCTCCGTCCTCTCTGATGGACGCGTCCTGGCTGCCAGGCACGCTCCCCACGTGTTTCCAGCCACTGTCTCCACGCAGGATCTTCCACCTGAGCCCGACCTCGGCCAGGTGCACAGCCAGGCCCTCTCCTCACCTTCCCCTACACCACCCTCTGGGGGACATCAGCGGCCCCTGGCACGGGCTCCCAGCCTCGGGCCTGTGGCTCAGACCCCCCGTCTCCGCTGGTGGAGCGATGCTGGGCCGGCGACGGTTTGTCGTCCTTGTCCCTCTCTGCACGTGTCTGACCTTTTCTACTAACACTTCTGAACGTGGTTTCCATCTCCAGCCCAGATCTGCCCGCGGTGCCTGAGGCCCTGTCACCCTGCTGTCCCTGCCATGGCTCACGATCACCCTCAACGTGACGTGGCTAAGATGGGACCCTTGCTCTCCCTGCCCCCTCCCGACGGCCTCAGGTGCCCAAGCCAGGAGTGGAGGTCAAGTTCTGCTTCTCCACAGCAAATGTGTCCGAAAGCCCAGGGTTCACGCCTCCGGGAACGTGTCTGCTAGCCACCTGCCCACCCTTACACCTTCCTGTCCCCACCCACACGCCCATTAAGTGTTGGGTGTGGTCATTTTCTTGGGTGGCCTTTTTGAGGAAAAATGTCGCAAATGTTTTCCCTTTCTTTTTACAGCATTAGGAATGGTCCCTCCTCCTGAAAACGTCAGAATGAATTCAGTTAACTTCAAGAACATTCTAGAATGGGAGCCTCCTGCTTTTCCCAAAGGGAATCTGACTTTCACGGCTCAGTACTTCAGGTGAGTCTGGGGTGTCCTTGGCAGGAAGGTGCCCAAGGACAGCGGCCGGGCTGGTCACTGGGCTGAGCCACAGGAGGGAGTCTGCTGGCTGTCGCCCGGGCCCCTGGGAGCCTTGCGCTGCCCTTTTCCTTTCTGTCCGGGCACCGCTGCGAACACTGTGCTCTCCGGAAGCAGACGAGTGATTTTCCTTTGCCCTGTGACAAAGGAGCGGCATGTGTCCCGCATGTGGCGGGACGATCACGGGGTCGGCGGCAGATAGGGACGTTTTGTCACTCGGGCGTGGAAGTCACCGAGCAGTGGTGGCCCGGGACAAAGCAGACATATCAGTATGTCTTTCAAGAAAATTGTCGCTGGTACCAGGCCCCGTTATTAGAGGGTGTTGCCGGAAGTCAGCCACTCGCGGGAGGAAGCCGTCCGAGGAAATGGAGGCCCAGTCAGAGCGACCCGCGTACCCCCAGCCCCTCCGACAGCGAAAGGTTCACCCCCGTGCTCTGGGCGCCCAGCGCCGCCCTGCCTGTGTCCTGAAGTTGAACATAAGGGGAAAGCTCTGTTTTCTGAAAACACTGGGGACTCATGAAAAGAGGGAGAGTGAGGGTCAAAGACGGTCACCACCATGGTGCCCGGACTTCCCGGGGCCTGTCCTGCCTGATGGTGTCTCTCTGTGCTGGCCGGCAGCTGGCAGCCTGCCACCGCACGCCATAGGCTGGACTGCAGGTGACACACCTTTATGCCAGGTGCAAACGGCAGCAGGCCACCTGCTTCCGGTGTGACTCACAGGCAGAGGCAGGCAGTCCCTGCGGTGGGGCGGGAGGAGCATGGGGCCCGGAGTCCCTTCACCCCAGGCGCAGCTGTCACTTCACAGCCGCAGCCAAGGCCCCCGGAGTCCGAGGAGACGTGGAGAGATGGGCGAGCTTGTCCCGTTGGCTTTTGTTTTTAACGGTTTAGTTCCAGATCATTCCGAGCACGATACAAAGCACGTCCTAATAACCCACACCCAGATCCACCCGTTTTCGAGGTTCACCACCTCCCACCTCCCTGCTCCCCACCTCCCACCTCGTGGGAGTCCCCTGCGGGTTTCCTGCGAGCGCGGGTGGTCTCTGCCGCCGCGCAGCCATTCGCGTACTCGGGTGGCGCTGACACAACCCTCTCGCCTCGTCTACGGCCCCCGGCCCCCGTCTGCTTCTGGGCACCTGCCCCGGGCCTGAGGGGGCGCCATCCTGCGGTGGGGTCTTCTCCTGCCCCATTTCCAGCACTGACTGCTCTTGTAACACTGCCCCGTCCTCTCCCCTCAGTCGCCTGGCCATAGCGATCCCAGGCCCCTCCCTCCGTCTCCCCCCTGGGGCTTATTTTGGGTGTTCTGTCCCTTGCACTGGTGGTAGAGGGTTTGTTTTGGACGTGAGACTTTCCAGCGACTTCCCGGTCTCCTCGGTGTGGAAGTGCCCAGAACAACAGACTGTGCTGGGGGTGTCCTTGGGGAAGAAGTTTGTTCGAGAAAACTCTGATTAGTCCTCTGTGGCCCTGCTGCAGCTCTGCTCCGAATCACGCCTGAGTGGTCGCCTGGGGCAGGGGTGCCAGAGGAGAGGCGGCTCAGAGCATGAACGCGTGGTTTTATAAACAGATGTTTGTTTATCTGTGCTAATCCTCACCTGAGGAGGTGCTTATTGATTTTAGAGGGAAAGGGAGGGAGAGAACCGTCAAAGTGAGAGAAACATCGACTGGTTGTCTCATAGGCTCCCTGACTGGGGACCACACCCTCAGTCCAGGCATGTGCCCTGGACTGAACCTGCGCAGGAATTGAACCTACGACCTGTGAGTTTACAGGGCGATGCTCCAACCCCTGGAGCCACACCGGCCAGGCTGTATTCATGGTTTCGATATGGAAACATCTACAAAACATTAAATGTAAATATGGGGAATGGGTGTATTACCTATGTAATAGGGAGGGAAATGTTTTTTATATTTATTTTATTTTATTGATTATACCATTACATTTGTTCTGTTCGCCCCTTCATTACCCCCCACCCTACACACCCCCTCCCCCACCATTACCCCCCTTTAGTTTATGTCCACGTGTCTCAAGTTTTTTAGATTCTATATTTCCCCTGCTATTCTGCCCTCTCCCTATCTATTTTCTATCTACGGTCTATGCTACTTATTCTCTGTACCTTCTCCCCCCTTCTCCTTCTCCCACTCCCCTGTTGCTAACCCTCCATGTGATCTTCATTTCTATGGTTCTGCTCCTGATCTAGCTGTCCTTTTAGTTTGCTTTTGTTTTAGGTGTGGTTCTTAGTAACTGTGAGTTTGCTGTCCTTTCACTGTTCATCTTTTTTATCTTCTTTTTCTTAGGTAAGTCCCTTTAACATTTCATATAATAAGGGCTTGGTGATGATGAACTCCTTGAATTTGATATTATTTGAGAAGCACTTTATCTGCCCTTCCATTCTAAATGAAAGCTTTGCTGGTTAGAGCAATCTTGTGTATAGGTCCTTGCCTTTCATCACTTGGAATATTTCTTTCCAGCCCCTTCTTGCCTGTAAGGTCTCTTGAGAAATCTGCTGACAGTCTGATGGAAATTCCTTTGTAGGTGACTGTCCCCTTATCTCTTGCTGCTTCTAGGATTCTCTCCTTCATTTTAATCTTGGCTAATGTAATGATGATGTGCTTTGGTATGTTCCTTCTTGGGTCCAACTTCTTTGGGACTCTCTGAGCTTCCTGGATTTCTTGGAAGTCTATTTCCTTTGCCAGAATGGGGAAGTTCTCCTTTATTATTTGTTCAAATAAGGTTTCCACTCGTGGCTGTTCCTGTTCCCCTTCTGGTACCCCTATAATTCGGATGTTGGGGCATTTAAAGATGTCCTGGAGGTTCCTAAGCCTCTCCTCATTTTTTTTGAATTCTTGTTTCTTCATATTTTTCTGTTTGGTCATTTTTTCCTTCCTTCTGGTCCGCTCCCTTGATTTGATTCCCAGTTTCCTTCCCATCACTATTGCTTTCCTGTGCATTTCCTTTCATTTCAATTAGTTTAGCCTCCATATGTTCCTCTAATTTGTGGCTAAAATCAACCAGTTCTGTGAGCATCCTCATCACCAGTGTTTTGAACTGTGCCTCTGATAGGTTGGCAATTTCTTGATTGCTTAGATTTATTGGCTCTGGGACTCAGTTCTTCTTGATCCATGTTTTGATCTGTTCGGACCTTTGCATTGGAGGAGAGGAGCCTTAGGTGTTCACTAGGGCGGGGCCACCCAGGTTGCTGGTTTGTGATGCTGTATGTGGGGGCAGGGTCAGAAAGGGAACAATGGCTGTCCTCACTGCTCGCCTTCTCCTGTTTATCTGCGAGCAAATGTGCGACCGCTGTCAGCCCGCCACCCCGCGCCTGCAGGGTCTTTCTCAATGCTCATCTCTTTGCTGGTTTATCTGTGCGCAAATGCATGACCGCAGACAGCCAGCTGCCCTGCGCCTTCCCTGGGTTCGCCCGTAGCTACCCTGCACCTGGGATCCGTGCCCTTGGCTGCCTGCTCGCTGCCTGGGTTGGGGGATCTTTTTCGCCCCACCCGCTCCACTGCTGGCTCCGCCCCTCTCACTGGTTTAGCTGAGCGGAGTTGTTTTCGGACTCCGTATTGTTCAATTTTCTGTGGGTGGCTGCATTTATTGTTGTTAAAACTTTGTTGTTTTTAAAATTGGTTGTGTGAGGAGGTAAAGCGTTTCCACCTACGCCTCCATCTTGGTGGAAGTCTGGGAGGGAAATATTTTGAATGCGATAAAACTACCTAGTAAGAGAGATGTTATGTAGGGCAGCTTCAGAAGTTCTGTGTTCCAGCCAATAGGCGCATTTCTTTGCGTGAAGGAGGAGTCCCCAGGGGAAAACCCACTCAGGGGCCCGGGCCCTGGATTTCCCAGATGGTGGGACGTGAGGTGGCCACGGGGCTGCTTGATCAGCACGATGCTCGTGGTGTGGTAAGGGGAAGAATCAGGTGGCGAACTGCCGTGAGCCCACTCGGCTCTCCCTGCTGTTCCCAAGAGCTTGTCCCAGGTTTCACTGAGAACCCGGTCAGGCATCGTGTGTGATGCGTGGAGCCGCGGACTCTGCAGTCAGGCCGACCTGAGCTCGGTTGGACGAGCGTCTTAGGTCATCCACGTCTGTGTGTCATCTGCAAAATCAGGGAATGACACTGATAGAACCTGCAGCGCCATGCCTGTCACCAGCTGCTCCACAGTGTTTGCCGTCAGTGTTTTTATCAGCGCCTTCCTCGTCACCTCTGAGCTTAGCCACAAGGGCTGTGGCATGGTGACGGAAGTTGTACTGGGGAACCAGTCAGACAAAGTCCTCACTGTTGGCAAGACAAGAGCCCGGCTCTTCTGGGCCCAGGGGGAGCCAATCACGCCTCCCGAAGCTGTGGACGTCCAGACTCCCCTTTTCTTCTTCCACTTCGAGTCCCTGCCTCCCTCCCTCCCTTCCTTGGCTGGTGTCAGGGCTGGGGATCGGAGCTCAACGAATTGTTTCCCATCTTTCCAGAGTGATTGCAACAATGGTCACTTACAGGACGTTATTCGAAGTCATCGTAATCGACCAGGGCGGCTAACCTGTGTCTGCCGATACTGCACAAACCGTGCTCCTCCCCCCGTCTCAGAACACAGAACACAGTAGCAAGGCAGGAAGCTGTCTTCATAAAGGGCACCGATCCCTCCACCCCCTTCCAGAGAGACGCTTGCCCATGAGGGTGGGAGAGTCTGAGAAGTTCTGTTGTGAGGACAGACGCCTCTTCACATTCACCCCAAATCCCTTGGCCGTGGAACGGCCTATTTCTGAAACATCTCAAGGATTATAAGGTGCTGTGGGGCACAGTTTGCAAAACGCTCATGGAGGGTGCATACTGGTCATCACAGTGGGTGACGAAGAACTTGCATTGCCTTTCCCTGCTCAGACCCCTCCCCAGCAGCAGGGCACACAGGCTCCAGGGCCCCGAGTGGCAGCTCTAATGGTTTGCTCTCGCTGGTTTTGCAGTTACAAGGAATTCCAGGACGTGTGCACCGGCACTGCCCTGACTCGGTGTGACTTCTCCGGGCTGTCCAAGTACGGCAACCACACCTTGAGAGTCAGGGCGGAGCAGGCAGACGAGCACTCCCAGTGGGTGACCCTCATCTTCTGTCCGGTGGACGACAGTAAGTCCCCTTGTTTTCCATACCTGGTGCTGTCCTCCTCGCACCTCCGTGTTTCCCCGCGGGCTGGCCCGCCAGCGGGAAGTCACCGAGTGCCCGCCGAGCGGAGGATGGGCTTGTGCAGGGAGCTGAGGGACTCTAACAGAGGGGTGTGGCCTTCGAGAAGTTCGCAGGGGAGACAGGACAGGATAGTCAGTAAGTAAGGGAGTTAAATATAAATGTAATAACTGTAATGCCGCGGGGTGAGAAAGACTTGGGGCCAGCGCCATGAGCAAGGTCTGCACTGCTCAGCCACGGGGGTGCCCTCTGGGAAACACATCAGTGGTGGGTCACCGTGCAGACACCTCGGCACTGAGACAGACCTCGGTGGGACAGCCTGCTCCTCACCTAGGCCGTGCGCTCCAGCCCGGTGCACAGCCCGTCCCTGCACTGTGTGCTGCCGGCTTGCATAGTGCAATTGTATCTGTGTCGAAGGGCAGAGCTCCTCGGTAGACTAATTGGTTTGCACAGTTGACATTTTTGAGATGTGATTTCTGATCACCGTGTTGCTTTGTTCTCGTGTTTGTAGCCGACATTGGGCCTCCAGGAATACACGTAGAAGCAGTTGCCAATTCTTTCCACATACGTTTCTCAGCCCCCAGAATTGAGAAGGAGCATGAAACCTGGACCATGAGGAACTTCTACGACTCGTGGGTCTACAATGTGCAGTATTGGAAGAACGGCTCCGACGAGAAGGTGAGTGAGCCACGCCCCGTGTGTCTCAGGTGTAGCTCCCTGTGCTCTGCTCAGGGCTGGTCCGAGGCTGTGACCGGGGAGGGAAGGGGTGGGGAGGCCACATAGTCAGGGTCTTGCAAGGTGGTGGCAGCTTAAGGTCCAGAGGACCTAAGGCCTCGTCTTCTGAGCGCCAGAAGCTCCCAGTCTGAAGGCTGGTGCGTGTCCCTGACTCATGCTTCCCAGGCCCCGAGGGAACTCAGACAGCAGACTTCATGGTGGGGTTGGGCCTGTCACGCAGGCCTGTCTTTCTGAGAAGGGAAGTTGCTGAGGAAGGCAGAGCTGACTCAGCAGGTGGCTGGGGGAACTTGGAATCCGCTGAGTTAGGTCATCGGCTGAATGAGTCCAGTTTCCTGGCAGCGACCCTAAGCCCCCAACCCCAAGAGTCAGATCCATGGTCAGGCAGCCCCTCCCCCAATGCTGATGAACAGTGTTTCCTTTTACCTGTTGGAGCTACTTTTCTGCCTTGCTCTCCTCCTCTTCGGGGGACCACTCCTTTCAACACGGGGGCTGGGAATGCAGAGACCTGCTGGAACGCTGCCTCAGCTTCCTCATGTCTGCAAAGTGGGCTAATAACCTGCTTCATTAGTAAATGGGGGACGGCCTGCTCCATATGCTTGCTGGGAGTTTGATGACATCGTGAAGCAATAAGCTTGGCGCGTTGCCCAGTGCGCGTGCTCGGCAGGTGGGGCCTCTGTCCTCATGCAGGCGTGGGAGGGTCATTTTCATTCCTCCCGGGACAGGTCCTGTTCTTACTCTCATCCCGTCAGAGCTGAGTGTCATCTGTGGCCCTGATGGACTCACACGTGTGTTATGTACCTTGAGTTACATCTATGTTTTCTCCTCACGTCAAAACGTTGGTTCTCATCGCCTGCTTCTCAAGCGTTTTGGAGGGAAGGGTCTCCCCCGTGCGCCGTCCTAGGACGACGCAGCTGAATCTGCACATGTGTACTGCAGAGCCCCCCCACATCTCACATTCACTCCCCCCACCCAGAAAATGCTCCACTGCATGATGCGGGGTGTCTGCCTTCTTCACAGAATCAAGGGGGCGGCCTGTAGTTCGGACCCCGGAAAAGCGTGTCTAGAGAGCAGCAGAGAATCACACTCCTTATGGCCGTTCCTCAGATGCCGGCGTCTGCTCCGCTCTGAGACGCAGAACGAAGACGGGGTTCACCTGCTGGAGGAGGAGTGCGCAGCGGGCTCCGATTAAGGGCCAGAGTCCACCGCCAGTGGCCCGAGGGCCTCCGAGTGTCTGCTCAGCTTCTTACCTTGAACACGCCCACAGGACAGGCCTCTGGTTACCTGTGTGTCCCATTTTTGGGCCTTTGACGTGCCGTGCCTGCAGTGTGACTAAAGACTGGTTCATATGGGCTATGGGCTGAATATTTGGACCCCCACCCCAAATTCCCGTGTTGGCATGGAACCCCTAGTGTGATGGTCATAGAAGGTAGTGTTGCATCCCAAGTTCGCGAGAGAAGGAACGAAGACTTTCAGAGGTTTAAAGATGTTTATTGAATCATAGTTTTACCTGCGCAGGGGTGAGCTCTCAGGGCGTCCGAGGACACCGTGCCAAAAATAGCTGCAGATGAGAGTCGCGCCAAACGCTTACAGACTAGGGTTCTTATAGCAGCGAGCAAGCAAGCGATTTCCAGAAGCGAGAGGTGGCCGTTAGCCGTTGGTCAGGAGCTCAAGCTAAGGCTCGTGATCTTGCTGATGATTGGCCTGCAAGGTGCATGAACAGCCCGTGCTCAGGTTCGCCATTGGCCTGGGGGCTCATGCTCTACCGGCTGAGTTAGCCGGGCTCACGCTAGGGGGTAAAAAACTTCCAGGAGGCTATCCGCTTGACTAGTTCTTATTACTTCATTGTTCTTTTCTTAACTTCTTAACTTGCTGGAGTATCTGCCCGAGGTGGGGTGTGCAGTTTCCCCCTAGGCTTGAGCAAGCAGCTAAGGTCGAAAACTACTTCCCTAAAGACTACTTCCCTTAGCTCCTATCATTAGCTCCTATCAGGTAGTCCTTCAGGTAGGGGTGAGGTCACGACGGCGACGCCTCCACGTGCTCTCTACCGAAGGTGCTCTTCCTGCAGCGGATTTTACCTGGGACTCCTTTGTAAGGGCATCCCCACCAGGGGAGACACGGTGGCGTGTGCTCCTAGTTCCCTTGATTTCTCCAGAAACGATTTGGGATTCTCAAATTCAGGAACCTATCATCAGTCCTGATATCTTTTATTCAGATTAATGGAATCAGGGAGCCCTCGCCCCCAGGGCGGGTGTGGTGTGTGCCCTCCAGGTGAGGCGGCCGCTGGAGGAGGGCAGCCCAGGTGCCCGAGGGGAGGAGAGATTCGGGGGAGACCCCAGGCAGCCAGCGTCAGAAACACGCCCTTGACTTAGAAGGATGACAGTGGGCCTCACAGTAGCCGACCAGAGGGGTCGGTGGCTCGGGCTGCTGCACCGAAATGCCACAGACTGGGCCACCGGATCCGGAGCATGTGGGCTCAAGGTTCTGGAGGCCGGGAGGCCGAGACCAGGGTGTGGCAGGGCCGTCCCCGGAAGCTGGGGACCTCTGTCCCAGGCGCCTCTCTCAGCTCCCAGTGGGGCTGGCAGTCTCGGCTCCGGGGCTTGTGCGAACATCGCCCCGTCTTACACGGGGCCCTCCCTGTGCGTCTGTGGCAAAGCTCTTCTTTCCATAAGGACACCAGTCAGGTGAGGGGGGAGTCAATGTATGTAACTAGTGTATCTTTTTAAAAAAGGAAGTGGGGCGGTTTGCATGACCTTTAACCTGGGAAATACTCGGAAGGGGCTGTTTGCGAGGGCCACAGTCGGCCCCTGCCCCTCCCTCAGAGTGGGCCTCTGAGACGAGCCGGGAGACAGGGACGCGGCTCCTCCATCCTCCTCCTTCCAGCCTGAGGTCAAGGGCACAGTTGGAAAATGCCCAGGGGAGGGGAATGAGGATGTGCCTTCACTGAGGAACCCTCCTTATTCTTGTCTTTGTCACCAGCACACAGTTGCTTGTCAGCGTGACTTCGAGGTCGTGGGAAACCTGGAGCCCTGGACGACATACTGTGTGCGCGTCCAGGGGTTTCTTCTCGATCAGAACAAGGCCGGGGAGTGGAGCGAGCCTGTCTGCGAGCAGACCTCCAGTGCCGGTGAGTCGGGGCGCGCGGCCCGTGGCTCCGCTAGGGTGCAGCACGCAGCTCCCTGGGCCTCTGCGCCTGCGAGGCTCCGGCAGCCCCGCAGACGTCGCCCGCCCAGCTGGGACCCCCGCCCAGGGCGGCCCTGACCCACGGCCTTGTGCTGGGCGGGCACCAGCGCCTGCAGAGGCAGCGCACTCGCTCTTGGCGGGAAGGGAATGGACGCCTCCCTCCCGTCTGGGGCGCTGAGGTCGGCCTCCTGCGCCCTGCTCAGCCTGTGCTCTCGGGGTCCCTGAGCCAAGTCCCATCCGCCCCCAGGACCACCAGCAAAGGCTGCCTGTCTCCAGTTCCTTTGGACACGTGACGGGAAGGGTGGGTTCCGGAACCGGGACACTCCAGCAGGAGGTGCTGGTGTCAGGGGCTGTTGGGAGGTGGGTGCCAGGACCTCAGCGCTGAGACCGGCAGGGCTCCAGGATTATCATTTCTAAAGGAAAACGGGAGGAAAGGAGGTTGGTGGGCAGGTCCCCCTAGGCCTGGGCCCAAAGCATATTCTCGTGTAGACACAGCACGATTGCAGCCAAGGTGGTAAACTCAGGGCCAGACGTCTGCACCCCCAGGCCTTGTATTGCACAGAAGCCTTGTCAGAGGCTCAGCCGGCTCAGGCCATGGGAGGGTGAGGGCAGGCCTGTCTCTCCTGGCTGTTTTCGCTTACCAAGGCACTTCCAGGAGCAAGGAGCTGGTGCCACAGAGATGCAGGGGAAGGTGACAGAATTCCCTCCAGAGAGGCCCCGGCCCCAACCTCACCGGCTGTGTTCCCCGGGCAGATCCGAGGAAAGCGCGGTGCTGTGTTCGCGTCAATGCCTCGTTTCAGCGCAGCCAGTTCTTCCCGAGTGCCGGTTCTGTCGCTGGGCTTAGTTCCCCTCCGAGCTTGCTCTGTCCCACCCCCCCACCCCCCAATTGGCTGGGGGAGCTTCGGGCCCCTCACCCGCGCGTCCAGGCTGCTCTTGTTCCAGGACACACCTGCCAGCTGCTCACTGGTCCTTCTGAATGCGGTGCACGGTTATATAAACTTCCTTGTTTCATTGTCCTCAACGTGGTTGTGAAAGACTTTGGCGAATATGGGCTGAAACCCACACCCGGGTCAAGTGCAGCGTTGTGCACCTGGGCTCCGTGTTTCAGGGTCATTGTCGGGACAAGAGCCCTGCAGTACCGCGTGCTTGGCCAGGACGGCATCTCCCCCTCGGCGAAGCTGCCCTGCGGACCAGCATGCTTAGCGTGGTTGCTCTTTCCACAGCTTTTTGGAGGATTAGCAGAACCAGCCCATAACAGGCCATAATTTAGTTACCAACAAGGAACTCAGTCCAAAAAAGAAAAGGCAGCCACTTGGAGCAAGTTTCCTTTTTTCTAAGTGTTTTTGCTGTTGTTGAAGATTATTTATTTATTTATTTATTTGTAGAGGGGAAGGGAGGGAGAAAGAGAGGGAGAGGAACATGGGCCTGCCAGAGGAACCTCAATCAGGCCCCTGTCACCCACGCCCTACCGGGAACCTGGCCCAAAACCCAGGCACGTGCCCTGACCAGGAACTGAACTGCTGACCTCTCAGTTCACAGGCCAGTGCTCAGTCCACTGAGCCACACCAGGCAGCTCTTGGAGCTGATTTCTTTTTGGTGCCCCGATGTCGATATTTTTAGTTATCACCTGTACCTCTTTCACGGGTATGCAAATGGCCACTTACTGATCCCCTCTGGGAGGTTTGTATTTTTTCCGCAGATCAGCCTCGGCCTTACAGGCTGTAGCGCACGTGTCTCCTTGTTTGTGGGTTTCCGCCCTCTTCCCTCGTGAGCACGCAGACCATGTGCCTGAGCCAGGGGCCTCCCCCGTCCCAAGCGCGACCTGCAGCGTGGTCAGAGCCGCAGGGACTGCAAGGCCTCGTGGGAAGTGAAAGGTCTTGGCTGTCTCTCTGGAGGGGACTCTCTGCTCACCCTCCTGCCTCCCGTCACCCCCAGTTCAGGCTGAGGTCCAAGGTCAGTGGCTGAGTGGACCCGCCTGCGCCCCCTTCTGTGGCGTCAGCTGGCAGAGCCTCTCGGCAGCGCCTTTAGGCAACAAACGCCTGCCTTCCGCGTGCACACTGCAGGCTGTGTGTCCACAGACCCTCTCTGTGTCTTCCGCCCTCGCTGTATTCCTCTCCAGAGTCCTTTGTGTTTGACCGAGTCCCCCCCACCCCGCCCCAGGGCCCCATCCTGCTCAGTTCACTACAGCCCCTGACCTTGGAATCATCCCTCTTTCCCTTCAACACCTGCCATCTGCTCTCCCAAAGCCTTGACAACGGCCCGATTGTCCCCGAGGCTGTCCTTCCCCGCTGTGAACTCCAACCCAGCGGGACCTGAGGCGAGTCCTGACTGGCCCCTCTGCGTCCTCAGCTGTAAAACAGGAGGAGGGAGAGGTGCTGCTGGACACTGGGGGTGGGAGCTCAGCGCGCCCAGCACGGAGCGCGGCCTGAGTGCATGTTAGACGCCGCCACTGTCACTGATGACGATAGTGTTGAAGTCACATTTTAGGGATTCCCCAGGTCTATGTCATGAAACTCGGCCTGAGCCATACAGTGTGACCAAACAGAGCAATTTCTCAAATATCTTGGGACTAGAAGTGATCCCCTATTCACTGACGAAAACCAAACATTTTGTAAAAAAAAAAAAAAAAAAAGGGAAAAGTAGGACCCATTGAAGACTGGCTTTTGTCAAACATCTGTTTAGGGTTATTTAAACACGGTTATCTCATTGAAACCTCATGACACGTGTGCTTGAGAGCCTCGTGAGGGTCCTCTCTCCAGCAGAAGGGAGCAGGAAGGCTCGGCGGGGGGGGGGGGCGACCCGCCCAGAGTCCCTCGGCCGGTAAGTGGCAGAGCACAGGCCGCCCGTGCTGCGGGTGCCCACCTGCAGGTCGATCCAGCAGGTGGTCCAGGGCGCGATGTCCCTGAGGACAAAAGGGAGAGGCAGGGCGGCGGCAGCGTGGCCGGCTGGAACCCACAAGGTCAAGAGCTTTGCAGAGAAGGTGTTGGTGAAGGGACTCCCACGACCCTCGGCCTGCGTGAAGCAGTGCCCTCTCTTTAGTCCCTCTTCTCCCTCGGGGTCAGTCACAAGAGCGCCCTTTGGATTTTGTCACCATCTACCAGGTGTGCCTGTGGGCTGTCCTCGTCTGAGACTCTGTTTTTCCTGGCTGGGGACGCGAGGCGCCCAGGCCTTGCTCTTCAGGGCTGGTCAAAGGGCCAGGGTGGCCCGTGACCCGTCTGTGCATAAGGGGTGATGCTGGGGTGTTGCCAAGTGGGAGGACTGTTGAAGCGTTGGAAGGAGGACAGTGGGCGTGTGGGATCCCAGAACCTCCTGAGGGGCTGGCACGTCAGATCCCGAGTGCGAGTCCTGTTGTGCGGGAGGGGCGGACTGGGGGCCGTGACCCCCATCCACCAAGAAACTCATGTTTCTTGCACTGAAAGCGGGGGCTAGGAAGCACCACCCTGGACCTCGGTGGATGGAACAAGAGTTCACCAGGGACCTGGGGCGCGGGGCCCTCTGAACTCAGCCAGGGTGCGAGCTGGGGAGGGGAGGAGGCCGCTCCCCGAGGATGCGGAAGCGAGGTGGGCGAGCAGAATACCTGCCCCTGGCCAGGTGTCCCCTGCAGTCCCTCTGAGTGACTTGCTCCAGAAGGTCAGGGCTCCCCCTTGCCCCACTCAGCACCAGAGGCTCGGGGCTTGATCTGGAGGGTGCTGCTGGCTTTGGGGGTCGGGCACGGGGAGGGCAGGTGGCCAGGGCAGCGGGGGAGGGCCCGGGGCAGAGCCAGGGCCACGCGGGGCCACGGCGGCCTCCTGGGCAGATCCTGTCAGAGGGGAGGCCAGACGCCCGCTGAAGCGGCAGAAGCAGATCTGTTCAGTGAGTGCATCTGGAGGGTAGGTCGCTGACAGGCGTCAGGAAGGAAGGAAGGGGGGGAGTGACAGATAATAACAGGCAGTGACAGGTCGCTCAGTGTTTGTGCAAGGAAGCCATCTGTGTCCCACGCTGACACGCTTGTCCTGTCAGGCTGCCCCCCGGGGGGATGGAGACTGGCCAGGTGATGGTGACGTGGTGAAGGGCTGGCTCTGGATCCAGGAGGAGACACTCCTGGGTGCCGGTGGGACCCTCAGCTCAGAGCGCAGAGGAAGGAGCCCCCGCTTTCCATGGTACATGCATCCAGAGCCAGAGCGGCACGTGGGAGTCCCCTGGGCAGCCTCGACTTTGCCCGGACAGGCACTTGGCGGACTCGGGCGGCTAGGAGCCCGTGGAAGAGCAGGTCTGGGTGCGGAGGTTGGGACGCGGCCCTGGCTAGCGTGCTTGTGGTTTTCAGACGCGGCGCAGCCATGCAGTGGGCTCTGGGGCCCCGGGAGAGGGGGCTGCACCCGACGGGGCTCCGTGCTGCCCGCAAGTGGGGACGGGGGTCCGAGTCCTTGCTCATTATTCTCTGTGTGAGTGTGCAAGTGTGCCAGCAGCTGTGCCAGCAGCCAGCTTTGGGGAAGATCAGAGAGGGTGGGACTTGTCTGAAGCTCCTGGTCCTCCCATGCCTGCCGGCCAGTCGAGGGGTGGGGGGCTCAGACCTCCCTGCACCCAGGTGGTGAGAACAGTGTGAGGTCACGGCAGGTTAAGGACAGGAAGGTGACGCACAAGTTCTCCCTGCAGAAGCAGCCCCCTCCTGGGTCGTGGTGGCCGCCGTGCTGGGGGCCTCGGTGTGCGCCACCTGCCTGCTGCTGCTGGGGTGCTCCGCCCTGCTGTGGTGCGTCTACAAGAGGACCAGGCGCATCTTCTCCCGGGGGGACGGGCTCCCGCAGCATCTGAAGGAGGTAGGTGGCAGGGAGCCCGGTGGAGGGGAAACCGCGACGGTTGGAGCTCCCCGCCTCCCCGAGTCAGGGCCGCCTTGGCCGGGCCGGCGTGTTTTCCTGGAGGAGGACGTGCATCTGCCTGCTGGGCCTGTGCCCCCGGGGCCTGTGCCCAGCCGGCCTGGAGGTGTGTTCCCAAGGCTGCCCCTCCAGCCTGGATGCGCGAGGGGGCCCCCCTTTCACTCTCATTTCCCAGGACACAGATGCTAAGATGGACACTTGCATCTAGGAGGCGTGGTGGGGGGCCCCCTTGGGAACTACCCTCTAAGAACGGAGAGTAGCAGGATGGTAGGGGCAGCGGTGGGTGGGGTGCAGTCCTAGCCGCGGCCTCTGCCCACCCCGGGAGCTGGGTGGCCCTTCAGAGATGTCCCAAGCTAAGGCCAGAGGGTCTGGGAGCCACTCACCGTGGGCTGGATGTGGGCCTCGCCCAGGAAGGGCTATGAGCAAGGAGGCCCCTGGGGAGATGCTCTGCTCCTGGCACCTGAGGGTGATGAGCGCCTCTCTCCTGAAGGAGGTCGGGGAGTCCGGTCATGTCTGCCAGAGGCCACCCCAATACCACAGGGTCCCCAGAGCAGCTCCTGCAGGGCTCAGCCTTTCCAGGGGGGGTTGCAGGAGGGAGGCCAGTGGCACAAGCTCCTGCTGCCACTGGTCTCAGGAGCCCAGTCTCACACGCTGGTCTCCCAGTGCCACTGTCCCCCCGCAAACCCACGAACCCAGACACCACCTTGCATGGATCTTCCTTAGCTGTGGCCGGGCTGAGACACCACACAGGGCCCCTCCCCGTGGAAAGGAAGACCCGGCATACCCTGCCCCGCAGGACCCGAATCTTCAGGGGGCGAGTCCCCACCCTCTGAAATGTGTGTCACCAGGGCCTTGTCTCTTCCTGCTTCTCCGGCCCTGTTAGCGTTGGGATGTGACGCTGCTGTCAGGCCTCGTCCCCACACTGGCCGGTCCGCTGTCACGGGCTGCCCCCGGGAGGGACTCACGCCCCTGCTGAGACATTGCCTCCTGGGGGGGGCGGGTCCTAGGGCTGGACGGGGCTGGGAGCCCTTCATGTCCCATGCTCGTAAAAGCTGGGTGACCAGCGCCTGTACCATGATGGGGATCAGGGACCCGTGACCCTGGGCATGGGTACGAGAGTGTCTGGAACTTTCTAGCAAGAATGCCAACCAGACTGCAAGCCCCACAATGAGCCAAGAATCTTCTGAGGATGAAAGGTGAGAAACCCCATTGGCAGCAGAGAAAACAAACAGGTGTGGCCCTTTCCTCCGGGCAGAAGATGTTTGGTGCTTGGAGAACCGAGAGGAAGGAAGGCCATTCTCCTGCTGGTTTTGCTTGGGGCTTCGCCATCCAAGAGACCCGTCTGGCAGGAAAGGGCGTGGGGCGACCTGCAAATCGGCAGCCAGACAGCACAGCGAAGGGTCGCCCGTGTGACCTCTCACCTCCAAGGCTGCAAGGCTCTGTGGCCTGGACCATGGGGCTGCTGGAGAAGGACCCAGGGGAAGGCGCAGGGCGAGCCGGGGGCCCAGAGGTAGGCGAGGCTCCTCACGTCTGCAAACGACCCCATCTGACACAGAATGCAGCCGGGACCCCGAGAAGGATTCCAAAGAGATTTGCTGGGGGCAGGGAGAAGCAACAGCGAGGTCCCCTCGACGCGGATGCCTTGGGCCACCAGCTGCTTCTGCATGCTCCCTCTGTTCTTCCCGCCTGTCCCATTTCCCGGGAGCATCAACAGCAGCTCCTAGCCCGTTCTTCCAGTCTGCTGGGTCTGAGGGTTTGGGCAGGTTCCTTTCTTGAGCCCCCACCCCGGTGGGGGCTTCTGCAAGTCCGCACCAGCCGGCAGTGGGAGGGCGCATCTCAGTGTCGCTGTGACGGTTGGGAGCATGGGGGGCCCACAGGGGTCTCAGGCAGGCGCCACGCAGCCACGAGTGTTTCGGGGACTGTGTGGGCACCTTCGCTGTCCAGAGAGGTGGACCGACGAGGAGGCCCAGACGGCAGCTGCTGCCTGACCGGCCCGCCACTGGGGGCGACAAGCTGTGCCGGTCGGTGTCTGTAAAATTTGAGTCACCGGTGATTTGAATTTCCTTGGAACCACATTTTTTTTTAAAAAGTGAAAGGAGCAGATGAAGTTCATTGCAATCTATTTCATACAACCCAATGTATCCAAAACATTTCAACATGGAATCAGTGTTTTAAGAAATTGCTGAAACACATCCTCTCTCACCGAGTCTCCGGCCGTGGCCTGTGTTGTGCTCTCCCGGTGCACGTCGGCCCGGACGAGCTGCGTCTCAGGTCGTCACCATGGCTTGTGGCTGCCACCCTGGACTGTGCGGGACTGGGGGTGGGGGCGGGGGGCTGAAACCAGGGGGCACACAGGGTAGCTCCCAGTAGGGCCCCTCGCTTGGCTGGAGGGCGCACGGGGGAATCTGCTTGTGACTCCAAGACACACCTTCCTGCCTGCTGCAGGAGGGACGCCCAGGCCGCATTGGTGCCACAGCTGCCTGACCGCCCTTCGGTCACTTAGAAAATGACCTGCAAATTTGTCCTTGCTGTTTTTTAATCGTGGGAAGAACCACACAACATGAAGTTTACTGGCCAACACTTTGCCTGTACAGTTCGGTGGCAATAAGCGTGTGGTTGCTGTGCGGCTATCACCACCGCCCGTCCCCAGACCATGCTCGTCTCCCGCATCGAGACTGTCCCCAGCAGACGCGAGCTGCCCACTGGTCCTCCTCCACCCCTGGCAGCTGCCCCGCTGCCTCTGTCTCTCTGAGTTTGGTGACTCTGGGTGGCTCATACAAGCGAGCTCATCTAGTTTTGTCCTTTTACGGCTTATCTCACCTAATTTCCACCCGTGCGGTGGCAGGTGTCCAAGCCCCCTCCCCTGTCAGGGCTGAGTGACCTGCACTGTGTGTCCGTCCGTCTGTCTGCCTGCCGCTGGACACTTAGGCAGTTTTCCCCGGGTTGTGGAGACAGATGGGGGGCACAGGTGTGTGAGTGTCTCTGAGGCCCAGCCTGCAGGTCTCCCGGGTGGCTCCCCGGAAATGGAATTGCTGGCCTCGTGGTCACCGCAGGTTTAACTTTGTGAGGACCCCCATATGTTCTTGTCGCGTTCTTCAAAACAGTGTGCTCAGCGGGAGCTCCTCGCGAAGCCTTTGCCAGCCCAGGACGAGAGGTGGGGAAGTGGAATAACGCGCTCCCTTCCTTCCTTCCTTTCTCCCGCAGTTTCTGAACCAGCCGCATCGCAACAGGCTGCTGTTCGTCTCCTTCCCGTGCCCCGATGAGAGCGAAGTCTTCGACAGACTGAGCGTCGTCGCCGAGCTCCCCAAAGGCAGCGGGTGGGATGCCGGGGACGTCTGTGGCCTCGGGCCGCCGTCGGGGTGGGACCCGCCTGCCACCTAGTCCCTGAGGAGGGGGCAGGTCCTGCATCTCACAGCCACCTCGGAGGGCAATAGGAGCAGCGGTGGTGGGGGGCCCAGACGCCCCGAGCCAGGCCCGGTCTGGAACCCGGGACCCGGGGCCGCGTCTGAACAGCCGGCACTGGTCTTGAAAGGCTCGCTTGGCCAGAGGCCTCCACCTGGGAACCAGCTGCCCGGCAAAGCCTCGCCCACCAAGGCTGTCGTTACAGCCTGTCAGGCTCACTGCCTGAAGGAAGGAACAGTTTTAGTTGCGAGAACCGAACATACTTACGGTGAGGAGTAAAAACAGGTGCCATGACGTCACACTGACGGCCGGCCCGCGACCCCAGAAACTCGCTGTGCAGAGTGCGGGCTTCGGTTCCCGGGGCTTTGTTTTCCTCCCCGTCCACGTCCAGCACAGCGCCGGCCTCCATTAAAGTTTTATTCTCCACCCTGAGTGTGTTCCTGACATTGCATTTGCAGGCTGTCCGGTGCCGGGCAAGGCTCTTGAGAGCTGTTGATGCTGTGCGTTTGCCCAGTGGGAGTCCCGCAGTCCCCCCCCCCCCACCGCTGTCTGTTAGCTGGGAGCCAGGGTGGGGCGGGGCCCGGCCGCACCTGGGAGCTCCCGGTGCTGGAAGGTGGGAGAACAGAAGGGCCCTGGGCTTTGAACTCCACCTCGGACTGTCCCCAGCCTGTGGCCGGTCGGTTTCCTCCTCCGCACAGATGGACAGACGGACGTGGGGATGGAAAGACCTGAGGGTGAACATCTCCACTGAAGACACCCACCCCGGTGCCCCCACCCATCACCCACCCCATGAAGCGCTGCTTGCCTCAGACAGAATCTCACGGTGTGACTTTAACTCACAAACTTGACAGGCGTCCCACCCTGTCTGCCAGATGGCTCCGTGACGCCAGTTCATCAAAGGCATCCCCCAAATCGGAAAAACACTTTTTTACATAACATGTTATAAATGGAGCCTCATGGGGGGGAGATCAGCGGTTTGTGGGCCTTCCTTGTGTTCATGTTCCAGCTCAGTATTTTTAACTTCTTTTTGATAACATTGTGAGGGTGTGACTGCCGTATTTTTGGCTTCCAGGCCCCCTCCCCTGTTTGGGGCTGGTCTGAGCCCTGGGAGAAACTGCTTCTGTTTCTAGACTGCCCTGTGTCCAGTCTCCCTCGGTCTCTCTGATGAGGACACTCGCGGGTGCATTCGCGGGCACCTCCCCCGCCCCCCAGGCCCCACCCGGGATGATCCCGAACAATCCCCTTCCTCAGGGTCCCTAATTTCATCACATCTGCAAGGACCCTTTCTTCAAATAAGGTCCCATTCACAGGCGCCCGGTGCCTTTGGGGCCATTCCTCGCCCTGCTGCATACCCCTGCTCAGCACTAGAAGGGACGTGTCTTTTTGGTTTGGGGTTCGCTTCCTGAGCGAAGGGACAGATCTTTTCTGAGAATTCATCCCAAAGAGCAGGCGGCAGCCGTAGATCACTCCACTTGGGTGGCTGAGTAAAACCTCAGGGTGAGTCGTTTGGGAACTGCAGGGCCCAAAAACGGAGCGGGAGCCGGCAGACGCCGAGTCGGGCCCTCAGTACTCCAGATGCCCCAGAAACAGCCAGAGGCCCCCCCCCACGCACAGCGCTCCCAGTGTGTCCGCGGAGACGGCATCTCCCACGTCTGCAGAGCACAGAGGCTGCCTCTTCAGCGTCGCGGTGGTCACACAGGAAACCTGATCTCATCGGCTTTTAAGACAAAGGCCTCCTTCTCACTCATCGTACAAGGGGCTGGAGGCCAGCCACGGTTCTCTCCTAATCTCTGTGACCTCTTCCTTCTTGAATGCACGCTGAAGGACGAGCCACACAGGGACAGAAAGACAACTGTCCCAGGCCAGTGACCAGAGAGGAGGGGTGGGGGCTAACGGGGGGAAGACGGGGGAGGGTCAAGTCAAGGAACATATGTAAAGGACCCAGGGACAAAGGCAACGGGGGCGGGGGGCTGAATGTGGTGGGGGGGGGAGGCAGGGGAGAGTAAAAAACCTTAAAAATAAAAGAGAAACCCAACTCCCACAATAGTTCTCGAAGCTTTTCCAAGCTTGGGCATGGAGTCACTTCTGCTTCTCTGGCCCCAGACATGGAGAACTCAGTGTCAACACAGTTCGGAGTGTCCATGCCCAGGGAGAAGTGCACGGATGTAGCAGCAGGAGGGGTGGGTAATTCTCCTACAAGGAAGGGAGAAAATAATTAGGAGCAATAATTACAATCTACTTACTGCACACTAAGAAGTGACCAAACAGTTTTGGAGGAGGGGCAAATAGACCCCGAGGGACGAACAGTATAGCCACTGAAATTTACAAGTCAGAGGAGGGCCTCACAGCAGGACAAGACACAGCGACAGAGAGAAGCGACAGGGGCGAAGGAGGAGCGCCTGTGTCGGAGTTCTCCGGAGGGACTGAACCAAGAAAGTGTGTGCGTGAGGGTGTGATTGTGGAGAGAGAAAACCTCGCCTCGCTGTGGGGAGCCAGCTCGCCCTGCCGCTGGGGCTGGCAAGTCCCCCATGGGAAGGGAAGGCTGACAGGCAAGAAATGCCTCCACACTTCAGTGGAGTCGACAGCAGTCTCGAGGCAAAATCCTCCCCTCCTCGGGAGACCTCGGTCTGTCTGCTCTTGGGGCCGTCAACTGATCGGAGCAGGCCCACCCGCCCACAGCGCCGAGGGCCGTCCGCTTTACTCAAAGCCTGCAGACTTCAGTGTTTGTCTCATCTAGAACAATGCTCACAGCAACACTCAGACTGGGTGATGGGCCAAACTCTCCGTTGCTGTGGCCTTGCCACGGTGACAGGTAAAAGTCACCAGCACTGTTAGGGCGAATCCAAAGTCAAAATTCCCAAGGGAGCAGCGCAGAGCAAGGTAAAGATGGAGACTATGAAGGTCGCGGTAGGAGACCCACGAGTGACTGAGTGAGATGATCTCGCAGATGTCCCACCAGAGTCCCTGGGGAAGGGCGGAGGGAGGACGGGGCACATGAAGTACTGGTGTACCTTGTTTACTGTGCGTCCCGGGTTCTGCGGGTGTTTTCCGGCCTGAAGGCCCCACCGCATAAAGAGCTATGACTCACACAGATGTCGGTCCTTGTTTGTAGCAACAAAGTAACTTTCCTTGAGGTGGATTCATTGTTTTATTAGACACAATGTATTTTGTTGTGTATAGTGCTCACCCACGTTTCTGTGTGCATTATGCACAGGACTGTGCCCATTATTATACCCATGGAATGTAATCATTACACCCATGTATGATGTGCACCCTCATTGTTCTCTCACAAATTTGGGCAAAAAAAAATCAGCATCATACGTGGCAAAATACGGTGATGCTTGCACACGAAACAGACTGCAGCAAGGCGTGAACACAACTTCAGTGTGCACTGGAAATCCAGAAAATTCTTGCGACTCTCCCGATTGCAATATTTGCTTTATCGTAGTGGTCTGGAACTGAGCCCACGGCATGTTTGAGGTGTGCCTGCATGCGAATATTTGAAAGGATGGTAGCCGGTGAGAGGTCCCAGTTCACCAGCTCAGGAACCCCAGCCTATCCCAAGCCACGCAAACCAGAATAACTCACACCAGAGCGAACCTTGGTCCCCAAGGCAGATTGCCACCAGGGGAAGAACAGCAAGATCTCTGGACGGCACCTAAACTGTGACAGGTGCCAAAAGGGATAGGACATCGCCCAAGTACATCACAAACCTTTGTCAACTTAGAATGGGATATCCTGAAGGAAAAAAAAAAAGCCTTTCAGGAAGAAGGATAAAATAAAGACTCAGACAAACAAAAGTTAAGAGCTTTTGACTTCAAAAGACCTTGACTAAGTAAAGATCAAAAGACGTATTTTAGGCAGAAGGAAGCCATCCGCAGGCGGAAGTGGTGAGACGTGAGGACTGTGGGGAAGAAACTGGGAATGTCTCGCGTACACCCGGATCGCTACCAGCTGCGCCAAACGACAGCGGCGCCGTGTCTGGCTGTGCGTCATGCACGCTCTTTGCCCAAATTTTGGGGGGGAAAATGCATGTGCATTACACACGGATAGTGTAAGTCCTGTATGTATATAAATGTTTTTAATTCTCTTATTTATGTGTGTGCATTGAAAGTGTTAACAGTGTAAAGCAATAACAATATCCATATGCAAAATAAAACCGTGGAATATGATCGTCGGTTTTGTTTCTAAATATAAATAAATAAATAATTGAATTAAAATTTTTAAAAAAAACTAAAGACTTTTTTCCTGAAAGTTTGAGCCAAAAACATGGGTGCACATTATACACGGCAAAATACGGTATGTTCTGGGTCTGCAAAACAGCAACTAACACTCAGAGAGGGGAACAAGGGAAGAGCCAGCGCCGCAGGTTCCCGCTGCATTTCGGAGAAAGTACAGATTTGACCTGGACACGTCACGTAGGTGAAAATTTCAAGCATAACTTCATCCCCGGAGAAGCAGTTCTCAGCTGGAGAAAGGGGCTGTTGTGTCACCCAGGGGCCCTGGATGACATCTGGAGACACCTCTGGCTGTCCCCGCTAGAGGGGCACCGCAGGCCTCCGGATGCCCAAAGCACCGGGCACATACGAGGCAGACCCCCGGGGACACACGGCCCGGAATTGTCTGGGTCCAAATGCCAGCGTGGCCGGGGCTGAGAAACGAAAGGTGGACTGCGACAGAGTTCTCCGCCAAGAGATTCCTCCAACGGGGCCGGAGGAAAGACAGCGCTTTTGAAAAAAGAAAGGCAGAACTAACAGAAAGGGTCAAGTAATGTGATAGAAATAAATCCGAAAGTGAGTAGATTCAATGGTCCAGTAAAAGACAATATTGTCAGACTGTACTTGACAAATTAATAGTGACTCTTGAGCTGTCTTTAGAAGACCCACAGAAAACATAAGACTACAGAAAAATTGGAAAAGAGGGTAAAGGATGTACCGGGCCAATTCTAACCAAGAAAGTTTCTTTTACTATATTAATATCATACAAACTAGATTTTAAGGCACCAAGCACCACTAGAGTTGAGAGGACCGTTATACAGCCATGGAGAGTGTCAGTTCGTGGGGAAGGTGAGACAGTCCTGAAACGCACACACACCTATCGGCACAGCCTCGAAACAGACCTGATTGACGGAGCCTGGGAAGGCGGGACTCAGTAAGGGCAGCCGTCACCGGGGCAGCGCTGGCAGGGAGCCCCACGCCGCGCTGCGCACTCTGACCCTTCTTTTGTCTCTTGGGTCTGAGGTGTATCTGACTGTCACACACACCGTGACCTTGTGTTTGAGCCCCTGGGGAAGGTGGAGAAAATGTTGCCACTTAAGCTGTGGCTCACTACAGAGTGTTAGACACCTCGAAATGCGGGAGACGCTAACGTGTGTGTGCGGGTGCGTGCGGGTGTGTGCACATGTGTGTAGGTGTGTGGCGGGGGTGTATGTCTACGTGGGGGGGAGGAGATGCTGCGAAGCATTAACAGTGACACCGATGAAGGGCATCTAAACAATCAACTTTTCTGCAGATTTAAGTTCAAAATAAAACGCTGGGGAAATTGGAACGGACATACAAATGCTTACAAGTGGTCATTCTGATGCCCATTCAAGTCCCAGGCAGGTTCACACGCACAGAACGTCCTCCGAGCTGGTGACCGGCCTCGGTCTCAGACAAACACATCAGTGTGGGCATTGCACACCCGTTCGGCTGCTGCAGCTCCTGAAGCACTTGGGCCCAGTGTCTTTCTGTCCGACGAGTGACATTTCCACCGCGGTCTGACAGACAGGGTGCTGCTGGGGGATGTGCACGAGAAGGGACACCTGCTGTGCTGGCCCCGAACCGCAGGGGACCCTGAGCCCCGGGCCCTCGGGTGCACCGTCTGGTGTGGAGACCGGCCAACCCCCGCCCTCGCAGCCCTACAGGGGCTCCCTGGGAGGAAGGGGACAGGAGGACCTGTGGCCGCCACACGGCACCTGCAGGGTGCTGCGAGGGCCTTGGGGCCGAATCCTGCCCTGGCTGACTCCCTGTCACTTGTCTTCTTGCCAGGTCACCTCAGGCACTCACGGCCTCCTCCCTGGGGCTGTCGGGTCTGTGTTTTCACACCGTGGAACTGTGGCGGTGACTACCTCTCGAATAGACATGCGCCTCCTTTTCTTTTCCTTCATCCTGTGGACAAAGGTAACAGTGAGTGATCGCCAAGTGCCAAGCTTTTAGGAGAAGTACTTGACCTTTACCATCTCGCTGACTCTTTGTGGTTGAAACTTGGGCTGGAACTTCTGAAACTATGTAACAGAAAGACTCCGTCCCAGACACCTGGCAGACACTGAGGCCTGTGCCCTGCCGGGGCCCCGGTAGACTCTGCAGGCCCCAGTAGACTCTGCAGGCAGCCGCAGGTCTCTGGAGCCCAGCTGTACGGAGAAGGATGAGGGCGGCCAGCTGCTGAGGCTGCGCACTTTGCAGCCAGGAAGCGAGACAAAGGGAAGAAACCCGCTTGTGAGAAATCAGCCCGAGTTCTGAGCCCAGCCAAGCATTCGGCGGGTCCTCTTATGGGCCACCACTGAGCACTGGGGCAGAGACGTGTGTCCTGCTGGGTTGACAGGCCCCTTGAGGGAAGCCAGGGGCCAGCTGCCCCTTCTTCACCTGCAGCCCTCTTCCTCCCCCTCTTCCCTCTCTTCCCCCTGCCCCCACCCACCTTCGCCCTTCTCCCTCCTTCCCCTTTCTCTGCCCTCCTCTTCCTCCGGGAGTTTCTGGAGTCCCAGCCTTGTGGGAGCCAGCTCAGAGCATTCCCGAGGGGCTCCTGCCTGCCCCTGGCCCGAACTGGCCTGGCACCCTGTCCGCTCCGGAGGCCACTGCAGCCACCCGGGGGATAGAGAAATGACAGTGCCCAGGCCTCACCCGGACCACTTAGCTCCCGCTCTCCGGGGCAGGATGCAGGCCCCTGCTTCCTATAGCTCCCCCCGGGGAGGGCAGCCGGGCTGGAGAGCAGACACGGAGGCCGGAGGCCGGAAGCAGCAGCCCCCCGCTCGCCAGCAGTCCCAGCAGCAGCCTGCTCCCCAGCCTTCTGAGGGCCACGCTGCTGTCGGCACCAGCCAGCAGGGCCCACCCACTGCCACTTTCGATGGTCAGCGAACTGTTCGTAAAGAAGGGGGCAAAGGGGCTTCATACACGGTGGGGGGGGGGGCAGGAGCCTGCTGGCTTCCTCAGGAAGCTGCAGTTTCACACCCGGGGGCCACAGCGTTGCTGTACTGCTCCTTCCCCGCGGCGGCACCAGCCTGCCGGGGGGCGTGGGGGGCGGTGCTGGGCCATCGAGGCCTGTGGACTAACTGGGGGCTGTGGACCGGCCAAGGCCCCCAAAGGCTTGGGAGGTTGATTAGTTCTTTTGAAAGAGCCCCCAGTTACAATCCTGGGGGACCAAAGAAGTGCTCTCACCCGCTCTCTCTCTCTCACCCGGTAACCCACCCTGCCGAGCTCCTGGGTTCTCTCTCGTCTGGGGACACGCCACCATGAGGGTCCGGGGCTGCTGGGACCCGCAGCAGCCGCCTGCGGGCTCCAAAGGACGGACGTTAACATGAAGCAGAAATGCTGCCCACTGGCCTCGCCGTGTTCTCCCTGAGGACGCAGCCGGACTTCGTGGAGGGACGGGCGAAAATGGGGGACCGGGCACGCAGGGGGCAGCTTCTACTTCCCCTCGAGGACATGTGGACACGCCACAGTCTCTTGTGCTCACCGCCGGTCCTCGGAAGGCTCTCTGCGCGACCCCGTGGAAGAGCCCGCCTGCACCGACGGCGCCTTCGCCCCGTGCCTCTGCCGGAAGGGCAGCGGCGACTCCGGCGGCGCCCGTCTCCGCCACTTCCCCGCCCAGCACTGTGCCAGGCCTCTGAGCAGCTCACGCACCCTGCGCCCCCCAGACGCTGCCCCCACAGCGGGCCGTGGCCCCTTCCCCCAAGGCAGCCCCGGACAGTGCCGCGCACCAAGAGGAATCTCCTGAATTCACAGACGATGGAGCAGCGCCCTGAGGGCTTGCTGAGCTCACGTGCAGCTCAGGGAGCCGGGACACGTGCGGACTTACGAGCTGATTCCGTGGAACGAAACTCCGGGGGACAGAGAGGAGGAAGGCCCGCGAGAGGGGGTAGTGACGCCCTGTGAGGTTGCCCCCCCTGCGTCTCAGTGGGTTGCAGTTGTTGTCCGGCTCTGGCTGGGCACCACGAACCACACAGAAGTGCGCGGCCCCTCGATTCTGCTCCCCATTTCTAACAGGTCTCGCTTTGGGCTAAAACGGGTTAGAAACCACGCCCTCAATGGCAGACTTCACTTTAGTCCTGAAAGCCGTCATTGTCATCGTCACTGATGGAGCAGACGTGAGCAAAACTAACTCCGTCCCTCCGACCCAGATTTCTTTTCATTGTTTTAAGTTTCGTGCTGTGACCTTTGACCGACCTCACTGTCCTTGACGAGCACAACAAAGCCGATGATTATCTGTGTTCCTTAAAGTGCAGCGTAAATGCTTGTGGGAGCCACGGCCAGAACCCCAGAACCGCAGCAACACAGAGATGAGTGTCAGACCGGGACGAGCATTGGTTGTAAACAACCGTCGGTCACAGGGGGTCTGGCCCCCGGCCTGCGGCATTCCTCCCCCCTTGGCCTTGTCAATCATCCGGACTGAGTCGCTCAGTAGAAAAGATACTGCCCCAGGGGTCTGGTCACGGAGGACAGTCGGCCCACAGTGGCTGGGCTGTGGATTCGGCTCTAACCCGATCGTCCCGTGCGTCACTTCCTCGCCACATGCTCCATCACGCTCTGCGGAGGTGCCTGCTCCGCCTTCCCACCGGCGGATGCTTCTGACCGCGGTGGCCAGGGCACCCGCGCCCACCGGCAGACACTCACCGAAGGGAGAGGAAGAAAGAGACGCAGATCAGCGATCAGCAGGGACCCAGTACTGCGGAAGAAAAGCTTTTAAAGTCAGTATTTTCCCGTTTTTATTCTAGCTTTCCGGGCGTTCCCTGTAGAACTCATAGCTAGAAAATATGGGGGGGTTTCTAGTGACAAGAAACTGCACTTGCTTGTGTTATTTAAACAAGGGGCCACAGGCCTGGAGGAAGTGTCTGTGGCCCGGAGGAGGCAGCAGGGAAACCGCGCTGGTGTGAAGAACACAGGAAGCTCACGTGAGCCCCCTCGGCAGGCCGGCGTCCTTGACACAAAACCAGCCCAAACCAGCTTGAACCAAGATGCGGTTCAGACACCACACAGTTCGCCCGTTTGAAGTGCGGAGCCTGGGAGCGGTCCGTGCGTTCCCAAGGCTGCGCAGTAGCCATCCCTGTCTCGTCCCCGAACATCTCGTCACCCCAGAAAGCGGCCCCCGCCCGTGGGCAGTCGCTCACCGCCTCCCGCTCCCCTCCCGCCCCCAGACGGCCACGGATCTGCTCTCTGTGTCCCTGGGGTTGTCTTTTCTGGACATTTCATAGGCGTGAAGTGGCACGCGAGGGGGCCTCCGTGTCTGGCCTCTCTCAGCTGCACCCCGATTTCCAGTGCACCCACACTGCAGCGTGGAGGAGCGGTGCCCCACTGGTGTCGATCGCCACACGGGGTTCTGTGCGTGGCTAGACCGCACTGCCTTTATCCCTCATCTGCTGATAGATGCTCGGCTGTTTGCTTTATAATTACTGTGAATAACGCAGCTGCAAACACGCGTGTACGGGCTTTTGTGCACACGTCTGTTTCCGGTTCTCTGGGACAGGTCCACCCAGAGCTGGAATCGCTGGGTCTCGCACTCGATCCCCAGAGCAGCTCTGCACTTGTCAACAGCCTTTCCACGGTGTCTGTCCCACAGTCTCGGGGACGAGAGTGACAAGACCGTCCTTTCGTCTTGTCCTTGTCGCCTCAGCACTCGGAACAACAACACAGGGGCACACAGACACCTGCCCGATTTCCTTCGAGGCCCCTCCTCCTCAGCCCGCCGGGACCCTGACACTCACTGTGGGGCGCAGAGCGTTTCTTGGTAAAGGCCTGCGCCCTCATACTACCCCTCTGCCACCCCTTGCTCAGTCGGTTCCTTTCCCTTATCATTTCTGCTGCCAGCCCTGCAGCTGGGCCTGAGCTGTCAGGAGCCCCTTCATGGTCTTGAGTTCCCATCCGCCTTCTGTGCGTCCCCCCAGAACTCTGGGGGACAGTGGGGGGCAACGATAAGGGGCAGGTTGGGGGTCTGTGCAGAGGAAACAAAGGAGGTGGGGAGGGGAGGGGAGGACTCCCGAGAATTGAATCTGGGGATCCGGACAGGCACGCTCTTGATCCTCCTCGGAAAGGGCAGAGGACACGCACCTGAAGAGGGGCGGCTGCGCAGCGGGCTCAGTGCGTCTGCGTTGCATAAATCTCCCTGCCGCCTTTCCCCCCTAACTACGAGAGAGGCTTATTCAGAAAGTCACAGAGGTTGAAGAAGTGGGCCCGAGGAGAAACAGGCTCTGGGAACAAGGGACAGAGGCCCTTGGCCCTTGGAGCTCAGGGGATGGAGGTTTGTGGGGGGCGGGGGTGAGAGAGGGAAGGAAACCGGGTGCCTGGGGGAGGGGGCGGGGAAAGGCAACAGTGTGCTCCCTGGAGGGAGCCGCTGGCCCTGCGGCTTTTCAACTGCAAGTCTCCAGCTCCAGCAAATGTCCCGAAAACCAGAGCTAGTCTCTAGGCTGTCCTCAGAAAGGGTCTAGAGGCTTCTCTAGACAGAAGTGATAAAGATGTTCTTTCAAGGGTCTTAATGGTTTGCAAACCTGAAACACCACTAAAGGAAAAGCAGAAGAAACCCAGAAGTGTTCCGAGGAACAAAGAAAAGTTCAGAGGTCTTATAGTAAAAAGTGTGTTCTTGAGACTGGTCCCTTCACTCTCGGGCCTAGCACGGGGCCAGGACAGTCAGAGGTCAGGGGTCAGGTGGCATGGAAATGGGCACCTGGAAATGGTCTGGACCAGCGATTTTCAACCTTTTTCACCTCGTGGCACCACAGAAACTGGGGACTAAAATGCCGTGGCACAGCAAAAATTACATCATACTTTTCGCCGATCTGACCCAAAAAATATGTATAATTTTGATCCCTGATCACCAGATGATATTGCTGCGTTGACTGTTGCCTCTTTTTTTTGTCTTTGACAGTCTAAGGGAAAGGAGGGTCGAAACCCGAGGGCAACCGAGTCCGGGGCTGGTGCTGCCGGCCGCCGATCAGCCAAAGGTGGAGGGTTACAACCCTCACAGCCACCCCAGCTCGAGCTTTCAGAAGCAGGTTTATATAGAGACGCGTGGGGATTTGGGAGGGAAGTTCCCAGGGGAGCTCGGACAGGCAGCTTCTCGGGTGTAAGGGGAGGGGGGGCTGCCAGGGGAGGGGGAGGCCTCTTCCCAAGCTCCTGCCCTGTGCGTGGTGCTGCCTCTCTGTCCCCCACCCCGTGTGGAGCACAGCCAGGGAGGCTGTGTGTCCTCTGGTCGGGGAGGAGAGGGGCGACCACCCACTCACAAGTGTCCGTGGTCAGAGGACATAAGCTCGTGCTGTCAAACTCCCGGGCCTCGTTGCATTTCTGTGTCTGCCTTTCCCTGTTCCGCTTGCCCAGGAATCTTTCAGCCTCTTGCTCTCCTGTGCTCAGGTCAGTGGCCCTGACTGAACCGTCAGGCACCTCATGTTTCCCAAACTCTCCAGGCAGGAGAAGGGGTGCCAGGTGTCTGGATGCTCGCCTTCCTCCGGAGGGGATCCGAGGGTGGGGATCAGATGACAGGCAGGGACGTTTCAGAGGGAGGTCCCTGGGCTAGTTAAAACGGGAGTAGAATCGCTTCTGCTTGACCCGAGGGACTCCACTCTGTCCTCACTCCATTGCGCAGGGCCGTGGCCCACGGGGTCCTGCCCTGACCCTGGAGCTTCACCTGCCCTTGGCCCCCGGCATCTCCAGCAGCCACACCGTGTCCCCCAGGTAGCCCAGGGCTGGCCCCGGGGCCCAGTCTGCAGAGTCTTCTAACCGAAGAGAGGAGAGCCGTGGTCTCCGCTTTGACCGCCCCGCCTGTCCTTCCCTGCTGGACCGGTCTCGTTGACAGCAAAGGCTGAAGCAAGAAGAGCCGCAGAATATTCTGCCTCCTCTTGGTTCTCCACGAACAAAACACCTTCTAGCCAGAGGAAAGGCCGTCTTTCGTGTTTCCTGCTGCCAATGCGGTTTCTCACCTTCTCAGCTCCTCCCGGGGCAGCGGTCTCCGCTGGTAACCTGGCTAGAAGGTTCCAGCTGCTCTGAAACGAGCCTCGGGCCTCTTCCTGTTGACTCAGCCCTGGGGGCAGGCGGCCTTGGTTTGTTCTGAGACATTTGGAAAGAACCTTCCTACAGTCTGAGATTTCAGCCCCTCCCACCGCTGCCACGACTGGGCTCCATTTCTCCGCTTCGTCCACAGGGCCTCGTGCGTGTTTTATGTCACAGGAGGGATGGGGGGGCTGCATGGGGGGGAGGGCGCAGGCTGAACAATGGTGCTCTACAAGATACGGGGGTCCCGATTCATGCAACCAGGAATGTGGTCTTTGCAAAAGGGGCCCGTGGGGACAGGATTAAATTCAGGATTCTGAGGCAGAAGTGTCACGGAGCCCCACCAGTGGTGCTCTGGAACAGCGTGGGGTTCGAGTGCCCACTGCCAGGAAGCTCCACTCCCAAAGCAAGACACTGGTGAGAAAGGGGAGGGGCTGTCCCTGTGCGGGTCATACAGGGTTAGAATAAGGGCAGAAGTCTGCCGTTAAGTCCTGCTCCCTTAAAACCCCCAAAACACACAGCCCTGCCTCCCTCTGCCAAACCAGGCGGATTCCAGCGACGGCCCACAGCGTGGGCAGCTCAGCGCTCAGGTTGCAGCTCAGCTCCGAGCCCCTCTCAGGGACTGCATGCGCCCCCGCAGCTCTGCCTGCCACCACCGTCCTCTCCGGCAGGCAGGCCTGCAGGCGGGCAAGCCTCATGGCCGCGCCCGGCACACCACCTCCGACCCCGTGGCTGCCTCGGCCTTCAGCCCACCCAGATGCAAATGCTCGGCTCGGAACTTCCCCCAGGCCCCCACCCGGCCCTTCCTGAGGTGCGTCAGCCATCCCGTCAGCTCCCCAGTGTCTTTGACCCTCCTCCAGCTGCTGTCTTCAATCAGGGCCAGGGTCACCGGCGACGCACCAGCATCCAGGTGCCCCTGCTGTGTCACGAGTCCCTGCGTGTTCTCACAGTTACTGTGCGGTTCCGCAGCTCCCAAGGCCTCCCCTTCGGGAAGGCGGGGCTATCACCTGCCTCTGCGGTGCCGTGGGCCTTAACCTCTGCACTGTCTGATGCCTCCTGTAGGCAGGACTGGGGTGGTCCCTTACTACCAGGGGACCCATGCCCTGGACCCCTTACAAAACACGGTCCTGGATGATCTGGGCGGACCCTCGATGCCCTCACGAGTGTCCTCGTGTGAGAGGCGGAGGTAGCTCACACACAGAAGAGGACAGCACGACCCCCGTCAGGGGAGGCCTGCAGCCTCGGGCACCCGGGGAGGCCAGGAGCAAGCTCCTTCCTGGCACCTCCTGAGAGCGCAGCCTGGCAGAGCTCCGGGCTCAGGCTCGGCGGTAGTGATGGGGGGGCAACCTGGTTCTCTCCGGGACCCGAGAGAACCCACTTCCACTGCCCTCAGACCCTCGGAGTGCAGCTCTTTCTTACAGCAGCCTCAAGACACTCACCGGGATGGGGAAGCCGCCCTGCCCGGGTGGGGGGGGGGGGGGGGGGGGGCTGCCCCGCCTGGCCCTCATCCTGATTCTGGCTCTGTCACTGCTCGCTGGGCGACCTCGGTGGACCATCTATCATCTCTCTGCCCGAGTTCTCTCACCAGCGACATGGAAGGGGACGAAAAGGACACCCATCTTGAAGACAGTGAAAGATGGAATGGGGCAAGTACATGAAATAACATCGGATTGTGGGCAGGAAAACAAAGGGTTCCGTGGAACGTCCCCTCACCGGGGGACCTGATCCTAAAGCCCTGCCTGGGCGGGACGTGGTGGCCTGTCTCGCCCCTGGCCTATCACCTCTTCAGTAAAGGGCTTCCCGTGGCCGCAAGCCAGCCCTGGGCATCTAGGTTAACACGCTTTTAAAATAAGCCTTAACCGCCCCGGGAGGCAGCCAATGGATGTTTAGGGTTTTTTTTTTCTTGCATTGATGTTTCTCTCAACCGGCCTTTTTGATGCCTCAGTTTCTGAATTCCAACTGTTAGAAGTGTGAGAAAATAAATGCTTATTGGAGCAACCCAATAAGCCTTCCAAGGTGTGGGAATCTGCAAAGGCAGCCCCAGCAAACTAACAGAGAGAGAGGAGGTTTCCTTTATGTATATGAAGCCCTGAGGCCTGCGTGTATCCACACTCCTCACTATTATTTAAAGGGATCAAGAGCACTTAGCAAGCTCAGGGTTCCCTAGGTCGTCCACAGGCCTGGAAGGAAGGTCACGGGTTCAGAGCCTGCTGTGCCCACGGTGCTGAGCCAGGACGAGGAAATGCCAGGAAGAGTGACCCAGAAGTGCCTGCGGGGCAGAGGCAGAGCCGCCCGACTGGTGCTTGCCCTCGTAGGCCCTGCAGAACCGCAGCTGAGATTGCAGGGGGGGCGGGGTGCACCGTAAATGACAAAGTGACAACATAGACAAAGAATTGCTATATTTCAGGAAGAGGAAAGAAGCAAGAGTCAGGAAACCATCAAGGCTCATTCTGATTCACCAGAAAACAGTGACTGCCTGGGACTGATTATTGAACGGTGGTTTGGAACAGAGGAACCTCCTTACTGTCTACGGGGGGTAAGTTGGGCAGCGACTATCATGGACCAGCTTTTCAGACACCAAATCAGGCGGCAAACTCCACGCAGGGAAGCCCCAGCCACTGTCCCCTCAGAACGGGACAGGCCTGGGAAAGTGAAGGCCTCGCTGCAGAAACGCGGCCTCCTCCTCCTGCGCCCTCTTCCGTCACAGAGGGGCCACTGAGGCCCTCACAGCGGTCCCAGGTGGGCTGCCCAGAGACGCCCCGAATCCCTGCCTGCGCTGCCCACCCTGCGAGCCCCGGGCACCCCAGGGCCTGCGCATGCATAGGGCCAGACCCGGAGGGACAGAGGCCTGGTCGCTGTTGGTCTCGGTGGCCACTAGGAAGAAAAGTCCGGTGTTGGTCAGTGGGATTGACTGTAATTGCATGTCAACCCGAGCCACACCTGTGTCCTGTTCTGGAAACAGGCAGCTGCCCAGCAGCTCACAGGGCTTGCGCTGTAAACACACCTGACCTGAGACACAACCTTTCACCAGGCTCTGCCTGCCAGGTAAGACAGGCAAACAGCATTGTGTTTCAAAGGGTCATAACAGGAAGGGTGCAAAACATCAAAGCATGACTGCCCGCTTAGAGCCAATAACCTGGGCGGCTCCTGACGTAACAGGTCAAGGGCTGCCCCCAACGAGGGCAAAGAGCCTGGTCTGCGCAGGCAGGGCCCTGGGTGCAGACGCAAGTCTCCCGTCCCTGCTTCTGAGCCCTCAACTGCTGACTCACCTGGTCACCTGAACTGGCCAGCAAAGGTCATCTGATGAGCCGGGTCAGGCTAACAGCACTGTCGTCCTGCCTGCCAGGGACCTCCCAGGGAGGAGACTGCCCCTGCAACAGAGAGACGGGGAGGGTGGAAAGGAGGGGCCGTTGGCAGAGCCGAGTGGGCAGGTGCAGGGGAACCAACTAGGAAGGGAACAGCAGCGTGAGGCTCCAGGGGCCTTACTAACTCCGAGCCTGGGGGGCAGGGAACCACCACCTCGGAGAGAGTAGGGGTCTGTGCAGGGTCCTGGCCTTCTGTTGAGGGACAGAGCCAACTCATGAAGACCCTGCAGGGAGGGAGCCAACCTCAGGGTCCCCCGACCCTCCAATCTCAGGCCGATGCCTCCCAGCAGCCAAACCCCAGCCAGTCCGAAGTCCAAGAGTAAAGACCTCTATGGATGCATTTTTTGCAGGGAGTCTCCTGGCCCCTGAGCGGGCAGATGAGGGGGGCAGTGGACCGGGGAGGCGGGGGGGCTCCCTCCCCCAGGGAGCAACATGAAAACAAGGGGAAAAAGTAAGAACAGAGTTCGTGAAGAAGCACATTTGACCCATGAACAGGCATTTTTGCAAGAAAAGGGTTTTGGGGATTCAGACTGAAAATTTTCCAAGCAACGTATTCACGTGTGTGAGATTGTTAGGGTGTTTGACGCTCTTTATTTACCTTTGTAGTGTGGTGCATTTTAATTGCACTTATTGGAGTCGCATTGGTTAATAAGCTCATACCGGTTTTCTGTGTCCATTTCTACGATTCGTTATCTGTCTGTTGCACTGTGCGCCCACTGCCCAGTCCCGTCATCACCGTCACCCTGCATTTCACCCCCTTTACCCTTTACTCCCCCACCCCTTCCCGCTGGTCACCACCAGACAGTTGTCTGCGTCTGTGAGTCTGAGTTTTATATCCCACACGTGAGTGAAATCACATGGTTCTTCGTTTTTTTCTGACTGATTGACGTATTTCATTCAGCATAATATTCTCAAGGTCCATCCATGTTGCTGCAAATGGAAGTACTTCATCTTTTCTTGTAGCTGAGAGGTATTTTAATTTGGCTTATAATTTCATCAAGTTTGCCTTGGGAAGAGTTTAACCGATTACGTTTTTAATCACCGTTAAAATCTTTGGGGAACTCTAATTTGTAAAATTCATGTTTTTGCTGTAGTAGTTATCTAAGAAGAATGTGACTATTCAGATAACTATTAACTCTTTAAAAACAGGTAATGATGTAGTGTGTTTCTTAAATTATGAAAATGGGAGCAGCGTCACTGTGAGTCAGGAGGGAGGGCGCGCTGCCGGCCCGGAGCTGCTCCTGTCCCAAGTTCCCCTCCTCAGTCCGTCCTGGGTCAGCCCCAGAGTCCGGCTCCCGAACCCGAGTGGCCCAGCCTGAGCTCTTCTATGTGTTGTCCTGGGTAGAAGAACTGGCGCTTTCAGGAGTCTCAAGGGGAATAAAAAGACAAATAACCCAATTTAAAAACGGGCAAAGGATCTGCATAGACACTGCTCCAGTGAAGCTGTGCAGATGAGCGGGATACACGTGAAAAGCTGCTCAGTATCTTCAGCCATCGGGCTGCCATCCTACGATTCACACCCATAGGATGGCCGTGGGAAAAAGACAGACAATCACAAGTGTTGGCAAGGATGTGAGGAAATCAGAACTCCCTTTCATTGCTGCTGGGATGGTAACAAGGCACAGCCACTTCAGAAAACAGTCTGGCCGTTCCTTAAAAGGTTCAACAGAGTTACCATGTGACCCAGCAATTCCATATTTAGGTAGATATCCAAGAAAAACGAAAACTCTTTCCATAAGAAAACTTGCGCATAAATGTGCGTAGGACCTCTATTCATAATAGCCAAAAAGCAGAAATGACCCAAACGTCCATCAAGAGATGAATGAATAAACAAAATATGGTCCGTGCATTCAATGGAACATTGTTTGGCAATGAAAGAAATGACGAATTGGCACAGGATACAACACAAACAAGCCTTAAAGCATCATGCTACACAAAGAGGCCCGACATAAAAAGCCACATGTTGTATCATCCCCATTGTGTGAAATGTGCAGAAGAGGCAGAAAGGCGATTGGTGGTCGCCGGAGCTGGGAAGTTGAGGAAGATGAAGGATGACATAAGGGGACCGTTCCGCGTGGCAGTGGGGAGTGCAGCCCAGCCCCAAACATCCTTCTTCTTTGATGTCATTAGCAACATCCTCTCCTTTGTTACCTGTAAAAGGTAACCACCTAAAGTGAACCCCTGCATAGTAAATGAGGACCATGCTCGCTGTAATGTGCCCAGAAAAACAATAAAAGCCTGTCCAGGCGGGGCCCGGGGCCCTGTCTCTCACTTAGAGAGCGGCCGTGCCGTCCCTGTGAATTTGTTCGTTGCAGCCACGACACATGGACCCTGCGGGCCAGAGTCTGCATCGATGACTGCTAAAGGAACAGGGTTTTCTGGGGGAGCGATGGAACGTTCTAGAGTCGGCGGTGATGGCTCCACAACTCTGTGAGTATACTAGAGACCATTCAATTGGGCAGTTAAAGTGAAAGACAGAGGTCGTATGCCCACAGGAGCAGGGGCCCACAAGGAATGGTGGGTACCGTGAGGCTCTGCCTCAAGCTAATTTGCATTTTCCAAAAAATGAATAGACTATTTTCAGAGCGGTTTTAGGTTCACAGCAAAATGGAGTGAGCTCCTGAGAGTTCCCACCTGTCTTCTCCCCCCAACACACAAAGCCTTCCCGACAATTGGCGTCCGGAGAGGGCAGCCCGCCTGTTACCACGGACGAACCAAACCCACCCATCGGTAGCACAGAGTCTGTAGGGGCGCGAGGTTTCACTCTGGACAAGTGTGTAATGGCGTGTGGCCCCCATCATGGTTCCCACAGGCAGGGTCGCTGCTCTCAGGTTCCCTGGGCTCCCCCTAAGCCCTGGCAACCTCTGATCTGGTCACTGTCTCTGACTTAGGGTCCTATTAGACTCCCGGGCCTGGCAGCACCTGGTGTCACCCTCCACTCGTCGGTCCTTGGAATACAATCCACCGGCAAGCAGTGTACCCTTCCCCCCACACGGTGGCTTCTGCCCTGTCACCTGGGCGACCACGGTCACTTCCCAGTGGGTTTCTCCACTTCCCCTTGCCACAGGCCCCACACCGAGTCTTTACACAGCAGCCACAACGGTGATCCT